CCGGAGCAGTGCTCGGTCTAGGGTCAATAATTTCTCACTTATGAGGCAAGACCTTTCAGTACACTTTGTACAACACCGCGAATCATGAGATTTTTCAATCTCACTGGTAGGAACACACTCTATTCCCAGCTCTGTGAATGCAGGTATTGTTTACTCTAATCCTTTCAGATGGCTCTTTCCTCAGCTTTAGGTAGTTTTCTCACAAGAAAGTCCTGACTGCTCCACTGAATATTCCAGAGAGTTACCCTCTGTAGTTCTCCAGAGCTTTCTTTCTTTCTTTCTTTCTTTCTTTGAGATGGAGCTCACTGTGTTGCCTAGGCTGGAGTGCAGTGGTGCTATCTTGGCTCACTGCTGCCACCTCCACCTCCCGGGTTCAAGCAATTCTCCTGCCTCAGCCTCCTGAGTAGCTGGGATTACAGGCCACCACGCCCAGCTAATTTTTGTATTTTTAGTAGAGACGGAGTTTCACCATGTTAGCCAGGCTGGTCTCAAACTCCTGACCTCTGGTGATTCACCTGCGTTGGTCTCTCAAAGTGTTAGGATTACAGGAGTGAGCCACCACGCCAGGCCCCAGAGCTCTCTTTCTTTGAGATGCTGTCCTCTTCACTGTTCTGCCCTGTGAACTCTAGCTACTTTGTTCTCCCTGAACTCTTAGCTCCAGTTCTTCAGCTCAGAGGGTTTATTGTGCTCTCCTTGGGCTGCCTGAAAACTCTCCCAAGGCAGTAAACTGGGGCACTCCTAGGCTTACCTGATTTATTTCATGTCTCTTTGGGTTCACTGGTAACTTAGCTGCCTGATGATAGAGTCTTAAAAACCGTTGTTTCATATATTGCATTCATTTTTTGGTTACTTCCAGTGGGAGAATAAATATGGTCTCTGTTACTTCATCCTGTTCGAAACGATATTTATTTATGTACCCTGGCTTCCATCCTTGTGTATAGATTGAGATGGGTATCTATTGTATTTTTATTCCACCAAAATTAGTTAACCCACAATTAATTAGTGAACATTTTCTTCCCTGATGGCTTTTAATTTTTAATTTTTATTTTTTTGAGACGGAATCGCACTCTGTCACCCAGGCTGGACTGCAGTGGTGTAATCTCAGCTCACTGCAAACTCCACCTCCTGGATTCAAGCAATTCTACAGCCTCAGCCTCCCCAGTAGCTGGGATTACAGGTGCCCGTCACCATGCCAGCCTAATTTTTGTACTTTTAGTAGAGATATGTTTTCACCATGTTGGCGAGGCTGGTTTTGAACTCCTGACCTCAGGTGATCCACCCACCCCAGTCTCCCAAAGTGCTAGGATTACAGGCATGAGCCATGGCGCCTGGCCCTGATGGTTTTTTTATACTTCTTAGTGCTATATTAATTACTCACATATATTGGAGTCCATTCCTGGATTAGCTATTTGGTCCTGGGGATCTATTTGCCAGTTTTTACCCTAGAACTATACTGTTTTACCTTCAGCTGCTTTGCCACATATTTTTAATATCTGATAATGCTAATATACCCTATTATATTTTTCCATTAAATGTTCCTCTGAGAATTTTTAAAACAGATTCTAGTATACTTATCCTTTCATATATATTTTGGAATCATTTTGTCAAATCTAAAAAAAATTCTGGGTTTTTTAAAAAATCAGAATTAAATATGTAAATTAACTTGGGGTTGGCAAATAGACATTTTATATATTAGTTTTCCTACCCAAAATTATAATACAACAGTCCATTTAATATAACAATCCATCTTCTCCACTCACTCAAATCTTTTGTTTTAATTTTCCATAAGGTTTTATAGTTTTATTCATGAAGATCTTCTTGTAAGTTTAATTTACTCTCAGGTACTCTGTGTGTGTGTGTGGTGTGTGTGTGTGTGTGTTTTGCTAGTGAAAATTGGCTCTTTTTCTGATCAGCCTGTTTTCCTCCAGTTGTAGCTAAATCTTGATTGCACATGTATATATTGTGTATCTGTGTGTGTATACTTGCACTGCCTAGTTTCCTATCCATACTGATGCCAGCTGTTTATAGAATGAAATTCTTGGCTTTTCTAGGTAAATAATCATGTAACTAGGAAATACTGATATTTTTGTCTCTTTCTTCCAACAACCCACATAAAACTAGACTGGCTTACTGGGTCTTGAAACCAGCCACAGCATAGAATTTCACTACGAGAAATAGTGGTCGGATGTGCTGGCTCACACTTGTAATTCTAGTACTTTGGGAGGCCAAGGCGGGTGGATCACTTGAGGTCAGGAGTTTGAGACCAGCCTGGCCAACATGGTGAAACCCTGTCTTTACCAAAAACACAAAAATTAGCCCGGCATGGTGGTGGGTGCCTGTAATCCCAGCTATTCGGGAGGCTGAGGCAGGAGAATCTCTTGAACCCAGGAGGCAGAGGTTGCGGTGAGCCAAGATCGCACCACTGCACTCCAGCCTGGGGGACAAGAGCAAAACTTCATCTCAAAAAAATGAAAATGAAAAGGAAATACTAGTGACTCTCACATAGAACTAAACCTAAATTGAAATTTTCATAAAAGTCTTTCAAGAATACCTAAGGAAGAATCCAAACATAAAGCAAAAATCTTTTTTTCTCTGTATTTCCTATCAATCCGGTATGTAATATTATCTACACAGGGAGCTGCCCTTCTCTCCAACTTCCTCCCAAAACTCTTCTGTCCTAAATTTCCCTTCAAAACCATCTCACATAGAACCAAATCCTCCTATCCCTCACTTCCCCCAAAAGAACTATCCTGGATAATTTTTGCTATCATGTTTATATGATAAACATGCTGCTATCGTATTTTTATGATAAATATGCTGGTTTCATCTGCTGGCTTTCCCAGTTCTCTACTTCACCATTGCTCTAATCAATAAAAAGTGTCCCCAGTGGCAAATAGTCAATAGAAGCTAACTTAGAATGTGGGGTGGATGAGAGAAGAAAGGGATTCAGGCTACCCACATCTAAATTCAATATATTTATTAAGCGACTTTGAATGATTCTCATTAGCCAAGAATATCTAACATTGTTAAGTCCTGTAGCTCTCTAAACAACCTTTGAAGCCTTTGTTTGTTTGTTTGTTTTTGAGATGGAGTCGCCCAGGCTGGAGTGCAATGGTGCCATCTCACCTCGCACAACCTCTGCCTCCCAGGTTCCAGCGATTCTCCTGCCTCAGCCTCCCGCAGAGCCGAAATTACAGACATGCGCTACCACGACTGGCTGATTTGTATTTTTAGTAGAGGCGGGGTTTCACCATGCTGGTCAGGCTGGTCTCGGACTCCCGACCTCAGGTGATCCACCTGCCTCAGGTGATCCACCTGCCTCAGCCTCCCAAAGTGCTGGGATTATGGGCGTGAGCCACTGCCTTCGGCCTGAAGGCATTATTTTTACGGCATTTTTTTGTCATATGGAAGCTTTCATGAACCAATTTTTAGATAATTGTGTATAATTTTTCCATTTTTAAAAACGTGAAAACTGCTGCTTCCGCAAGGCAGCTGAAGACACCGCTGAATGCCCTCTGGGGTCAGGAAAATGCTTTGGTGCCACCTGCCGGTTTCCGAAGATGTTTCAGGAACTTGCTCCGGTTGATTTCCATTTTTTTTTTTTTTTAAACTCCTAGCTCTCTCCCAGCGCATTTCAAAACAACCAGAAAAGAAATTATATTTTTTTTGTAGCAAGAGCGCTAGTGCTCAAGCTTATAAAAATGCAAATAAATTTGTCTGGGATGCAATGTGAAGAAACATTCATACTTCTCAATCATCTAACTAGTCAAATTTTGTTTAGCACTTGACCGAAATGTAGATTTCATATGTTGACTTTACATTGCTACTTACATACAGCCTATTTATTTTCTCGTTAATAAGATATATTTTCTTTCTTTTTTTATTTTTATATTTTGAGACAGGTTCTCCCAGTGTTGCCCAGGCTGGAGTTCAGTAGTGCCGTCTCAGCTCACTGCAACCTCTACCTCCCAGGCTCAATTGATCCTCCCATTTTTCAGCCTCCCGGGTAGATGCATACCACCAAGGCCGGCTAATTTTTGTGCTCTTTGTAGAGCTGGAGTTTCGCCATGTTGCTCAGACTGGTCTTGAACTCCTAGGCTCAGGCGATCTGCCAGTTTGGGCCTCTCAACGTGCTGGGTTTACAAGGGTAAGCCATCAAGCCAAGCAACAGATATATTTTCAAGTGGATGATATCCCATCAGTTGTGACATATGATGTAAATACTAATAATAAAACATTGAAGTTTCTGAACATTTTACCTTTATTATAGTTAGAATAATTCTAAGTTATTCCTATAATAATGCTACACTTATTCACTTGCATTCTGATACACATTTCTTGAACAGGAAGGAGGTACAGATACAGCTTATGCACATTTACATTCATTCATTCAGTTAGTCAATAAATATGTATTGTTATCCACATCCCAGGTACTTTTTTGGTAATTAGGATTTAGCAGTAAACATGAGGAAGTCGTCAACATCAGCCTTAGATGAGGGTAAGATCCTGATCTCTGTGTACCACAAATCATACAAAAAAAATTTGCTTAAAAATGTGGGAACCTGTCTTTCAAAACCCGCCATTTAGCACTACTGTAGCATGACCTGTAAACCTAAACATAGACGGACAGGCGCCAGCGCCAGGGTTTGAACCCAAACCACGTGACTTCACAACCCGTAGCTTTCAGCACTAGGCGATGCTGCTGGCATCTTGCAAAGGCTGGATAAGTATACACTGAATGAATGATTCCGGCTACGGATTCTTAAAGCCCACAAAAGGCCCATCCAGAGACCGAAAGCCTCATACATAAGCCACAGCGCAGACGGCTGCACCCGAGCTGCGGAGCGTTAAGAAACTCAAGACTTGAGCCCTAGATCAGCGGGCTTAGGGGCGGGCTTAGGGGCGGGCTTTTGCCTCAAGAGGCGGAGCTGTCTCGTGTTATTCCGCGCAAGTTTGAACCTCTTCACTTGCCGTAGTGTCGCAGCCGGAAGAGGTTTTACAGCATGTTTTAGGTTTCCGGAAGAGGGTTGGACTCTTTTATACCATGTGGGAGCTGCTGTGAAGAGTTGCTGCATTCCAGGGTATACCCAAATTCCCAGTTCCGGGTAAGGAGGCGCACAGAGCCGCTTGATGTGGCTGCGGATGGGGGCGGCATATCGAGGAAGGGTAAGAGTTTTCCGGGTATCTACCGAATAAGGGTTGAAGGAAAGCCTTGGCGCGGTGGCCGGTACTGTAATTAGTTCTTAGCGCTGTTGCTGTCGTGTTTGCATCTCCGGGATCCACAGATCTCAGGACAGCCGCGTCGTGTGTCCATGACGGCGCCGAGTGCAGAGGAAAATTGTTTGTATGTGACGCGCCTTACAGTTTCGTAGAGACTTCTCAAAGTGCTTATGTTTTTTTAGCCCCTGTCATTAAAACTCCGTTGGCGTGAAAGATGACGTCCTTAGCCCAGCAGCTCCAACGACTTGCCCTCCCTCAAAGTGATCCCAGCCTCTTCTCTAGAGATGAAGTTGCCTCTTTGTTGTTTGACCCTAAGGAAGCGGCCACCATCGACAGGGACACCGCCTTTGCCATTGGTGAGCCGTCTTTTAGCTGTGCTTGAAATGTTTATGAGGAGTGGTATCTGGATCTCACAGATGAAGAAACAAGGTTAGAGAGGTCAACTAATAAATCAAAAAGAGAACAGCTAAAAGGGGATAGAGGCAGTGACTTGGGTAACGGAGGAGTCCTCTCAGAGGACTGGCATAGTTATTGTTGAGGATATCAAAAAAAAAAAAAAAAAAAGCAGTGTTTCTTGCCACGAAGTACTTTCTGTTCTGGTAGATGAGATAAGACTTACTTTATATGTTTGAAAACTAGAAAGCAGTGTTTGAGACTGTATTACAAATTGTACATACTTAAAGAATTCAGAGACTTTTTAGAGTAAGTAAAACTGCAAAAGAGGGGTGGGATGAGTTTACTTGAAAAGATTCATTAACTAAACTGGCTTTTTTTTTTTTAAATTTAGGATGCACTGGCCTGGAAGAATTGCTTGGAATTGATCCTTCCTTTGAGCAGTTTGAAGCACCGTTGTTCAGTCAGCTAGCAAAAACCTTGGAGCGAAGCGTTCAGACCAAAGCAGTAAACAAACAGTTGGATGAAAACATTTCATTATTCCTTATTCACTTGTCACCTTACTTTCTGCTTAAGCCAGCGCAGAAGTGTCTGGAGTGGTTGATTCACAGGTAGTTAATAGAATTACAGATATAACTATGGGCTAATCACTTTGGTCTTTTAAAAAATTAAGTAGTTGAGAACACTTATCAACTTAAAGCTGAAAAATTGGTATATATTAAGAGATTAAGACCACATCCATTGTGTGAGATAAGCATGCTCTTCTGTCTTTAAATTCTTTTTATTCGATAATGAAAAGTAGAACTACTGATGATTTTGAGTAAATGGTCTAATCTCATTAGTTCTTTTTTTTTCTTTTGAGGTGGAGTCTTGCTCTGTTGCCCAGGCTGGAGTACAGTGGTGAAATCTTGGTTCTCTGCAGCCTCTGCCTCCCGGGTTCAAGCAATTCTCCTGCCTCAGCCTCCTGAGTGGCTGGGATTACAGGCACTTGACATAGTGCCTGGATAAGTTTTGTATTTTTGTAGAGACAGGGTTTCATTGTGTTAGCCAGGCTGGTCTTGAACCCCTGATCACCTGAGGTGATCCACCCGCCTCAGCCTCCCAAAGTGCTGGGATTACAGTCGTGAGCTACTGCGCCGGGCCTAAGCTCATTAGTTATTTGGCAAGAAGGAAGCTTAATACCCATCACCCCAAGTGTGCAGGAACAAGCTGTAATGGCAAAGTGACAGCTTGTTCCTGCACACTTGGGGCGATGGGTATTAAGCTTCTTTCTTGCCAAAATAACAAAATGGTTGGGGAAGCAGGCAATATTACCTTCTGAAATACCATTACTTGAGAAAAACAATGATAGCTAATGTGTATTGAGCATATATACACCAGGTCCTGGTTAGCACTTTACCTGCATTATCTCATTTAATCCTCGAAGCATTCATCTGGTGAGACTACTTGTATTATCTCTGTTTTACAGTTGAGAAAACTGAGGCTTAGAGGGGTTAAGTTGCTTGAGTTACACAGCTAGTAAGTGGCAAAGCTAGGATACAACTGGCTTATTTCCAAGGTCTGATCTTTTATCTGCTTTGGGAATTGTCTCAGCAGTTTACTCAGTTTATTTTCTCACATATTGGTATCACATTGCAGCATACACATTTTTGTTTAGTTTATTCTCCACATGTCTTTTTTTTTTTTTTTTTTTTTTTTGAGATGGAGTCTTGCACTGTCTCCTGGGCTGGAGTGCAGTGGTTCGATCTCTGCTCATGCAACCTCTGCCTACCAGGTTTAAGTGATTCTCTTGCCTTAGCCTCCCAAGTAGCTAAGATTACAAGCACCTGCCACCATGCCCAGCTAATTTTTTTGTATTTATTTTTTTTAGTAGAGACCGGGTTTCACCATGTTGGCCAGGCTGATTTCAAACTTCTGACCTCATGATCCACCCACCTCAGCCTCCCAAAGTGCTGGGATTACAGGCGTGAGCCACTGTGCCCAGCTGCCCAGCCGTCTTTTCTTTCTTTCTTTTCTTTTCTTTTTTTTTCTTTCTCTTTCTTTCTTTTTTTTTTTTTGGTTGTGTCAAGATTTTTCTGTCACCTAGGCTGGGTGCAGTGGTGTGATCATGGCTCACTTGACCTCCAGGGCTCAAATGATCCTTGGATCTCAGCCTCCCAAGTAGCAGAGATTACAGGGATTACCACCATGCCCTGCTAGTTGTTGTTGTTGTTATTATTATTATTTTGTAGAGACAGTGTCTCTGTTGCCCAGGCTAATCTGGAACTCCTGGCCTCAAGCAATCCTTCTGTCTCATCAGCCTCCCAAAGTGCTGGGGTTATAGGCATGAGCTGCCACACCAAATCCAATTTACATGTTTTATTTTATTTTTTATTTATTTATTTTTGAGACAAGAGTTTCTCTCTTGTTGCCCTAGCTGGAGTGCAATGGCACGATCTTGGCTCCCTGCAACCTTTGCCTCCAGGGTTCAAGCTGTTTTCCTCCCTCAGCCTCCAGAGTAGCTGGGATTATAGGCATGCGCTACCAGGCCTGGCTAATTTTGTTTTTTTAGTAGAGACAGGGTTTCTCCATGTTGGTCAGGCTGGTCTCAGACTTCTGACCTCAGGTGATCCACCCCCACCTTGGCCTCCAAAGTACTGGGATCACAGGCATGAGCCACCTCGCCCGGCCTACATGTTTTAAAAGTAGATTTCTATCCCATTAATTGGAGACATGGCTTCAAGACTAGCCTGGCCAACATGGTAAAACCCTGTCTCTACCAAAAATACAAAAATTAGCAGGGCGCTGCGGTGAGCACCTATAATTCCAGCTACTTGGGAGGCTGAAGCAGGAGAATCCCTTGAACCCGGGAAGCGGATTTTGCAGTGAACTGAGATTGCGCCACTGAACTCCAACTGGAGTGACAGAGGGAGACTCTGTATCAAACAAAAAACAAAAAATGGAGATATGGAGATAAACTAATTTTTTAAAGAAATAAATGAGTCACCAAGAAAACATAATTTTTAACTTGGATCTTCTGATTGTCAGAACATTAGGGCAATCAGACAAAAAAGAGTATTTCAAAGTCTGTAATATTGCCATCTGTTTTCTAGCATCTAGTTTTACCCCCAAGTAGATCTTCATGTAAGCAATACTTATTAAATTTGGTTTTTCATTTATTTCTTCAGAAGACTTACTTATTTATTCAACATATACTAAGTTCAGTACACAGATAAGTAGGTTCCGCTTGATTACTGTTTTGAAATAAGTGCTGTAATAAAGAATTAAGCGTAGTTTTGTGGATATAGTTCTGCCTGGAATAGTTGAAGAAAGCTTCCTGGAGAAAGTAACAGCTTGGATGGTACTAAAATCATATGTGAAACTAATAGGCTGGGTTCAGTGGCTCACGCCTGTAATCCCAACACTTTGGGAGGCCGAAGTGGGCAGATCACTTCAGATCGGGGGTTCGAGACCAGGCTGACCAGCATGGTGAAACTCTGTCTCTACTAGGAATACCAAAAAAAATTAGCCAGGCGTGGTGGCTACTTGGGAGGTGGGGGCATGAGAATCATTTCAACTTGGGAGATGAAGGTTGCTGTGAGCTGAGATCACACCACTGCATTCCCGTCTGGGTGACCGAGTAGACTCCATCTCAAAAAAAAAAAAAAAAAGAAAAAAACTAATAAAAGGCAATGTATGATACTGTTTTAAAAAAAAAAAGTACATGTAGACCAGGCATGGTGGCTCATGCCTGTAATCCCAACACTGGGAGGCCGAGGTGAATGGATCACCTGAGGTCAGGAGTTCGAGACCAGCCTGACCAACATGGAAAAACCCCATCTCAACTGAAAAAACAGAATTAGCTGGGTGTAGTGGCACATGCCTGCAATCCCAGCTACAGGAGGATCGCTTGAATCCAGGAGGTGGAGGTAGCAGTAAGCTGAGATCGCACTGTTAACTCCAGCCTGGGCAAGAAGAGTGAAACTCCTATCTCAAGAAAAAAAAGTCTGTATAAAAGAATAGAGTTTATACAGAAGAGAGATCAGTTGGTAGAGAGAATTAGAAAAAGCATCTTGGCCAGGTGCAGTGGCTCATGCCTGTAATCCGAGCACTTTGGGAGGCTGAGGTGGGTGTATTGCCCGAGCTCAGGAGTTCGAGGCTAACCTGGCCAACATGGTAAAACTCTATTAAAATAAAAAAAAATTAGCTGGGCATGGTGGTGTGTGCCTGTGGTCCCAGCTATTTGGGAGGCTGAGGCAGGAGAATCACTTGAACCCAGGAGATGGAGGTTGCAGTGAGCCAAGATTGTGCCACTGCACTCTAGCCTGGGCAGCAGTGAGACTCCCTCTCAAAAAAAAAAAAAAAAGGTTAAGAGACCAGACTGGGCAACATAGGAAGACCTAGTCTCTACATAGAAATAAAACGTTAGCCAGCTGTAGTGGTGCTCACCTGTGGTCCCAGATACTCAGGAGGCCTAGGTGGGAGGATCAGTTGAGCCTGGGAGGTCGAGGCTGCCGTGAGCCATGATTGTGCCACTGCAGTCCAGCCTGGGTGGCAGAGCAAGACCCTATTTCAAAAAAATAAAAATTTTAAAACTGAGAGAAAGTGAATGGGGTGTATATTTTGATTTTGAATATTTAAAGATATTGGATAGGAATTGGCAGGCCCATGTTGAGGCATATGTGAATGGAAAATTGAGGACTTTTAAAATGTTCTGTATCTTGCTTATAATTATGTGATTTTTTTACTGCTACTTGTTTTAGGTTGTTTTAGCTCATTAATACACAGCTTGGGCATATGAGGAAATAGGTGCTTTTTATTGTTTTGTGTCCAACTGAACTATTTGCTTTTTTCCCCCAGGTTCCATATACATCTTTATAATCAAGATAGCCTCATTGCTTGTGTTCTGCCATACCATGAGACAAGAATATTTGTGCGAGTCATACAGCTGCTAAAAATTAATAATTCAAAGCACAAATGGTTCTGGCTGTTGCCAGTTAAGGTATGATTGCTGAATGACACATGTCTGTAAGCATTACAAATCTTGATTAAGGGATTTAATTAGGAAAAAATGAGCCAGTGCTCCTGGGAATGGTCCAGTTATTACCTCCATCATTTTTATTTCCTAACTTGCCAGTGAAACTATTATTAATGTTAATAATATTTAGCTTTTATTTAGTATCTGACATCAGGCTAGGCAATGTATATTATATTGTCTTGGATTAACCCAAAACTTTGTTTTCACAGATGAGGACAGGCTACTTGCCAAAGTTCGCATAACTACTAAGTGGCAGAGTTGAGATTTGAACCCAGTCTGATTCCAGACCCTGTGTCTTTCTGTTGTACCATGCTGTTTGGCATTTTAAATTTTGGAACTGAGAGCTTAAAAAAAAAGTTGGAGGTGAAGAAAGGCAGAAAATAATTATAAAAATTAAAAGGATAAGGATAACTTCAGGGCTTAAGAATTAAAGTTGTGAGGAAGATGCTAGGAATTAATTTACAGACGAATATAAGTATACTTGTATAACCGGAAGGGTCTGGGTTAGATCAAACAGCATGCTATTGTACGGGAAACCAGCTGGCTGACTATCAGCACTTTGGCAACATGTGGTAGAGCAAAGTAGATGTAGTTAGCAGGAACTTTACCGCATGTTGAGCGTGGTGATCCAGGTTAGGAGGGGAGGCAAATGGGAATGAAAGTAGGCTAACAGATCATGGGGCTATGCACCTTTGGGTGATGATGGTAGTGAGGTCAGTGTTCAGAATTAGCAAGATAGGAGTAATGAGGAGTTTTTAATTGGAAGGAGAGTTTAAGAATCTGAATGTAAAGCACTTGAACTGAAGAACGTTAGAGAAGGTCAGGCTTTGATAAAGCTGTCAAGCTGCTCTTCCCAACATTCACTCTGCTCATAGCCTCAAAATTATTCTTCCTGTGATCTACCCTTGGACCTTGCTGCTCCCTAGGCCCTCTTATTCCAGGAATTCAAACTCCACTCACCTACTAAAGTTCACTTAAAATTCTCCTTTCATTTATTTGGTCAATATTTATTGAGCATCTGTTACATACCATGTATAATGCTGGATGGTGAGAATAGTGGTATAAGTTGCCCAGGTTCCTAGTTTATTTCTGTTCTTAGAATTATTTGAAAGCAATAACAGAAGCATATCATATTGGCTCAGAAACCAAATAGAACCAGTAAAATTACTAAGAATCTAGAGAAACAGATTTTGATAAGTACCTTTCAAAATGTGCCATATAATAAGAAACATTTTTCACGAAATACTTCTGCCCTCATTGCAAACCTTCTCTTGAATTTCTAAGTTCCCATGATTTTGTGTGTTAATTTCATCACCATCACCAGTTACAAGGAGAGATTATGTTTTTAATTTATGAACTATAGCAGTATGAAGAGATTACTGGGGTAAATAAGGATTAGTTGATGGATGTTGCTAATAGTTTGTTCTTTTTGTTAATAATAGCAATCCGGAGTGCCCTTAGCTAAAGGAACTTTGATTACCCACTGCTACAAAGACCTTGGATTCATGGATTTCATTTGTAGTTTGGTGACAAAATCTGTGAAGGTGAGCAGTATGTTGTTTCATGAGTATATAATTTTATGAAAAGATTGCTTGCTTTGAATGAAGAAAACACACTAAAGCCTTCCCTAATAAGAGTGGTCCTTTGGATAATTTTATTTTGTTAATGGTCTGGTGTTTTGAAGCGGGACCAGTTTGAGAATCAGTTTTTTTTTGTTTGTTTTGTTTTGTTTTTTTCCAAAGGTGTTTTTCTACAAAAATAAATGCCTGTTCCTTGCCAAATTCTAGTTACAGTGACTATTTGAAGAGACTGTCTAGAAATGTCAGGAATATTCATCCTGGGAAAGCTGTTCAAAAAATTTTAAGGCTGGATGCAGTGGCTCATGCCTGTAATCCCAGCACTTTTGGAGAAGCTGAGGCAGGCGGATCACTTGAGGTTGGGAGTTCGAGACGATCCTGACTAAAACACCATCTCTACTTAAAATATGAAAATAAGCTGGGCATGGTGGCATGTGCTTGTAATCCCAGCTACTCGAGAGGCAGAGACAAGAGAATAGCTTGAACCTGGGAGGGGGAGGTTGCAGTGAGCCGAGATCAGGTCACTATACTGTAGCCTGGGTGACAGCGAGACTGTCTCAAAAAAAAAATTGTTTTTTAATTAATATGTTAGGAATATTATTAGTTCATTCTTGTCACATTGCGAATGTATTAAGCATTTCATATGGTAGTTCAGGAGAGCTGTAAATATTTATTTGGCCTTTCACTTTGCTTTTTTTTTTTGGAGACATGGTCTTACTCTGTTGTCCAGGCTAGAGTACAGTGGTGCCATCATGGTTCACTGAAGTCTCAGCCTCAAGCAGTCCTCCTCCCTCCCTTTCACTGTTCCATGTGTGTGTTTGTGTTCCTTGTTTCAGGTTTTTGCTGAGTACCCGGGCAGCTCAGCTCAGTTGAGGGTGCTCTTGGCTTTCTATGCATCCACCATTGTGTCGGCGCTGGTAGCTGCGGAAGACGTATCAGACAATATCATCGCAAAATTATTTCCCTATATCCAAAAGGTCGGCACGGCTGATGTGTTAAGTAGATTATTTTGTACTTAAAGGAATTCTCTTGCTTTTGAACTTTTTTTTAGATTTAAGCATTTTTAAATTGACAATGTATTTCAGGTGATTGATGAAATTTAACTTTTAGGTTGAAAATATGACACTTTTTTATTAGAAACTAACCAGAGTGGGACCTTAATTAGGACTCTTAAAAATAAATATTGGCTGTCTGGCCCTGCCACCATCTCCTAGATTGATTTTCGTCGCCGTTTGTTCCTTACTGGAAGGAGGATGGAGTAGACTGTCTTTGGGGCAGAAGCAGGCTCTCAGCATTCTTTGTGCACTGGCTCCTACATCTCAGTGTTTTTCTTTCCTGAGTGTCTTGTTGCCTGATGCCTTCCCAGGTGCCCCATGGAGATACTGCTTTTACTTCCCACCATTGTCTCAACTTGTTGTCTTTCATCAGACTTTTTTCTTCCATCAGTGATCTGATTGGGGTCTCCCTTCCGTAAGTAGATTTTTACGAATAAAAGAAGAGCTTACTGGCTCCTGTTAAGACACATGGTAGATATTTGGAGTTGGAAAATTTTCTGAGATCCTTTGTCTCATCCAACAGACTTGTCTCATCTCTTTATCCACTCTGAAAAAGGGGTCAACTCCTTTATTGTTTATGTCTGAAGAGTGGTTGACTATGTATTAGGTTGTAGTAATCCCTAATTTATGACATTTCTAATTTGTCAGATTAACATTTTAAGTAGAAGAAAATAATATAGTTTATCATTTTTCCTTATATTTAAAAAATATTTAGGGATTGAAATCATCTTTACCAGATTACAGAGCTGCAACATATATGATAATATGTCAGATTTCTGTGAAAGTGACAATGGAAGATACCTTTGTGAATTCATTGGCATCACAGATCATCAAAACATTAACCAAGATTCCCTCTTTGATCAAGGATGGATTAAGTTGCTTGATAGTACTCCTGCAGAGACAGAAGCCAGAGAGCCTTGGGAAAAAGTATGTACAATTGAATTGAGGAATGGTGCTAGTTAGAAGTGAATAAAATTATTTTGAATAATTATTTTTGTAAGATAAGTGATTATATATTTTTTTAAATATTGTCACTCATTGTCTAACTTGTAAAGTCAACATGTATGTACTTTTGCTTCTTCAAAGGCCATTCCTTCATTTATGTAATGTTCCTGATCTTATTACAATACTTCATGGGATTTCTGAAACTTACGATGTCAGTCCTCTTCTGCGTTACATGCTTCCCCATCTGGTTGTCTCCATCATTCATCACGTTACAGGTTTGTGGTTTTACATTTTTTGTCCAGAAACGTTCTAAGATTTGATCTTAAGATAGTAACCGTATCCTGGTTAACAGCTTTAAAATATTGGAAATTTCTGTTTTCCAGCTGTTTTTGTGTAACTTGTGTATTAAATGAGAAACATTTGGGGTGGGGAGCAGGTTGGTTGGAGAGAGATCCTTTTTAATTGAGTGGTTTCTTAGAACAAGTTTTTTAATAGTCGTTACATGAAAAAGACTAGAATAATTTTAAAAATTTTTCCGAGTAAACCTTTGCCTTCTCATTTAGGAATTTAATGAACTTTAGTGATTCATTTGCAATAAATATCCAGTTGCCAAAAAAGTTTTTCTCCCTAGAGTAATTAAAAATATAAGAACAAGAAAATTTTTATGCATAAAAATCCAAATTATGAAACAAAGCAAAAAATAATAATTAGAGGGCTAGTTGGCTCAAACATGTAATCCTAGCACTTTCAGAAACTGAGACGGGCAGATCACTTGAGCTCAGGAGTTCAAGACCAGCTAGGCAACGTGGCAAAACACTGTCTCTACAAAACTATACAAAAATTAACCCGGCATGGTGACATGCACCCATGGTCCCAGCTGCTCAGGAGACTGAGGTGGGAGGATCATCTGAGCCCAGGGAGTTCGAGGCTACAGTGAGCTGTGTTTGCGCCACTGCATTTCAGCCTGGGTGACAGAATGAGTCCGTATCTCATCATCATCATCATCATAATTAGAATGATTGCTGGCATTACGTCTTTTAATAAATACAAAAAGACTAGGAAGAGACACTTGGTTCCATTCCTACTTGGGGAACGCTAAGAAATACTTATCTAAACTGTCAGCCTGCCGCAAAATGAGGTTTTCATAACCAAATATTGGTTTAAACATACATTTTGGAAAAATGACTAGCGTAAATGAAAATGTTTTCTTCCTATTCTAAAGGTAATGAGTGATGTTCCAGTGTTTGAAAGCAAGAGCTAATATCAGATTCTTATGTTTATTATAAATCTGAAATGGATGCCAGCTCTTGGTACAGTAAAGGGGTAGGTACTGAGATGAAAGTTTAGCCTGTTTTCAGAGATAGCTGATTGGGACTATCACAACCAATTTGTAATATGACCTGGTGAAAGACTAATTTTGGACTTTTGTTTTATTTTTGTTATAAGAATGATAATACTTGTTAAAAATAGAGAATTCAGTTGAAAAACAAATTAAGGTGATCTATACAAAAAAGCTGTGAAAAATATAAGTGGAATGCACTTCTGGAAATAGATAAAAAACTGTATATCAGTGTGCATGCTTTATTCTAAGAAAGATTTTCTGCTATAAGTGAAATTTAATAATGTTAGCTTGCAAAATAAATGTTTCCCAACACTTTTAATTTTTTCCCTATTAAGGAGAAGAAACTGAAGGGATAGATGGTCAAATCTACAAGAACCACTTAGAAGCTATACTTACAAAAATATCACTGAATAACAACTTAGACCATTTGTTGGCTAGGTAAGCTATTATCTTTGATGTGCTTTTGATTTACATTTCTGCGACTCAGTGTAATTTTCAAGATTGGTTAGAAATTTCTCGCTGTTCCTTTTTAATGTATATCTTGCTTTGTCTGTATCATTTCATTAACTATAAGTACTTAATCCAATAACTGGTAGCCTTAAAAGCAAAACTAATTGTTTTTGCATGTCTTTAGTGCTTATAGATGAAAATGGAAAGTTAATGGTTAAGCTAAATTTGGGTAATAACTAAACGCAGTTTGGCTGTTTGAAGTTTTCTATTAGTAAACAGACCATAATATTTGAAGTAGTATATCACAGTCAAAACGCTGTAAATGTCATTTAGAAACTTAATATTGAAGGAGGCATAGAGTAAGGTTTAGTTCTTTTTTTTAATCTTTTTTTTTTTTTTGAGATGGAGTCTTGCTCTGTCGCCAGGGTGGAGTGCGGTGGCACAATCTTGGCTCACTGCAACCTCTGCCTCCCAGATTCAAGCGATTCTCCTGCCTCAGCCTCCCAAGTAGCTGGAATTACAGGGGTGCCAACACCACGCCCAGCTAAGTTTTGTATTTTTAGTAGAGACGGGGTTTCAGCATTTTGGCCAGGATGGCCTCTAGCTCCTGACCTCAGGTGTTCCACCCACTTCGGCCTCCCAAAGTGCTGAGATTACAGGCATGAGCCACCGTACCTGGCTGGAATATTTCTTTACTGTAAAAATAATTCAGTTTTTTTTTCCTAATGGGCAACTTGATGCGGTGAAAAGAATGCAGGCATTGCAGGCAGACATAGGTGTAAATTCTGCCCTCACCACTTCCAAGTGTATAGTAAGTTCTGGAGGTTAGACTGGATGTGGCCTTGCCAGTTTGTAGCATCAAGAGGGTACCTGTCTATTGGTGTGCTTCATTCATGCCCCTTTGCTCAGAGGTTTGGTTTGTGGATTAAAGGAGAGTAGACACATGAAGTTATGTTGAGAACATAGGCTCTAGTATCAGACTGGGGCTTAAAATGTGAAACCCCATTCTTCATGGCATAAAAGGGCTCACTGAGTGTTGGTTCTCACAAGCAAATTGGAAGACTTTTTATACCCTAGTTTCTTTTCCTTTTTTTTTTTTTTTTTACGTTTTTAAATAGCAGTGTGGTCTTGCTGTGTTCTCCAGACAGGTCTTGAACTCCTCACCTCAAGCAGTCCTCCCACCCTGGCCTCCAAAAGTGCTGGGATTGTAATGCCAGTGGTGTGAACCACTATACTAGGCCCCTATTTCTTTATCTGTAAAATAAGTATTATACTATACCTTGTATAAGTAGACAATTAGAGATAATATTTCTAAAGCACTTAGAATATAGTAGGTACTCAATAAATAGCAACTCTTATATGTGCTGATATTTCTGGGTTTGTTTTTTTTTTTTTTTACAGCCTTCTATTTGAAGAGTATATTTCATATAATTCACAGGAAGAAATGGATTCTGATAAAGTATCTTTGCTTAATGAACAGTTTCTTCCACTCATTAGGCTTTTAGAAAGCAAGTAAGTTATGTATTTATGTTTGTCCTCTTCCAAAGTACTTCCTATTCTATAAAGATACGATTCACAAGTCACATCTTCATATACTGAATTGTATAGAGACTGTCCTTTTTAAATTTCTTCTTCAAGAAGGGGCCAGTATCATAATCAAAAATATTTGAAATGTAAGAGGAAATAGTGGTTGTGTGGGGGCTATGGAGAGTATAATTTTTTAGCGAGAGACTATTTTGTTATTGGAGTAGTCAGAGTAACAAAGTTGACCAATGACATTAGGTTTTACATATAACATGTATTAAAATTTAAGTCACATTGTCAGTAATTTTTAAAATGTTATATCTTTATAGACATATGGTTTATGAGATTAATATTAAGAATAATGAATTCACTCTTTAATTGCTTCCAGATACCCCAGAACGTTAGACGTTGTGTTAGAGGAACACCTAAAGGAAATTGCAGACCTGAAAAAACAAGAGCTTTTTCACCAGTTTGTTTCCCTTTCTACAAGTGGAGGAAAATATCAGGTATGTTGTTCTCCAAAGGAACGATGACAGTTTGGGGTACATTTGTATGGTTATGTGAAGAGCTTCAGAAGGAAATTTGCCACTTCTTTCTTTTATGTGGAAAATTTCACAGAGATGACCTTATACAGTTTGCCTAGTTGCCTGAAGTACGTCTCTGAGGCAGGAATAGAATAATTGGAGAAAGGTACAATAATTTGTACATAACTATGAATGTGATACTTATTTCAGGAAAAGTATTAATTGGGTATTTTGTATGGGATATTCATTAAGAATTATCAAAGGACAGCGTCACGTAGGTTTCTGGTGTTCTCCGTCTTTCCCTTAGGTCCATGCTTTCCTGTGTACCAGCCACACAGGGCTATCTATATTATTGATTAGCAAGGGGGAGATTGGTTCTATTTCATGACCATGTTAAAACTTCAGAAATTTTCTGGTGATTCAAACCTAAAGCTTTATATAGAGGTTAGACATTTAAGCAGAAGTTCTTGTAATTAGCCTTAAAAACAGATAATTATGAAGAGAAATATGATTGCTTTAGTATTTCTTTTCCATAATTAGACTTTCATTTTTAATAGTGTTGCTTTTCCAAATCTTAGGTTGATAGACTTGCTTTTTAGTCAAATTGTGTAAGTGAACTAAGTTGTCACTAATTTGAATGTCAGTGTTTGTTACATCTTTTAGATGAGTTGCATTCTGTCTTCCAGGAGGTGTTAAAACAGTGATTCATCTTAGGTACTCTTTACTTTGGTATCAGATGTGCATAAAAAATACAGAATTACTTTGTAGAATTACTTTACTAAATTAAACCTACACATAGGCACAAGTATTCATCTACTGCAATTCATATAATGTTCTAGAAACAAATATTTTGCCTTTTTTTGTTTCTGTGGTGAGAAGGTTTTTACTGAAACGTTGGGCAATTTGGGGTGGTTATCTCTGGGTTTTGTTCTTGATTATAGACTGTTCAGATTAAGTGAAATCATTTGATAATTATGTTGAATGAACCCTATAGTTTTTAGCAGATTCGGATACTTCTTTGATGCTCAGTCTGAATCATCCACTTGTTCCTGTGAGACTTCTGGCCATTAATCATTTGAAAAATATCATGAAAACATCAAAGGTTTGTTTTGGATAGCTTTCATGTATGATTTTTTTTTCTTATGATGAGGAGTGTAGTTCTGAGTAAGAAATTAAAGTTACTACCTAGAATTGTTAGTGTATAATTATACAGATGAGCTGTATAAAGCTCATGAGATTACTTTAGACTAATATTTAGGACTGCATATGCCTGTAGTCCCCATTTTAACAGTAACCGAATAACAATGGCTGTTATGTTTCCACATTGAAAATTATTTATCTTTAGTGTTTTTCAAACTGGAAATTGTAGATTAATTCACATAGGTTCATTAATTATCTGTGAATTCTTTTAGTTTTGAAATTTGATTTTGGGCTCATCACAGCAGCTCATGCCTGTAATCCCAGTACTTTCGGAGAGGTATCACTTGAGCCCAAAAGTTTGAGACCAGCCTGAGCAACATAGGGGGACCCCCTTCTCTATAAAAAATTTAAAAAAGGAAAACTTAGCCAAGTTTGATGGTACACGCTTGTGGTCCCAGCTACTTGAGAGACTGAGGTAGGAGGATCTCTTGGGCCCGGGAGGTTGAGGGTGCAGCAAGCCGTGATCACGCCGCTGCTCTCCAACCTGGGTGACAGGGCAAGACCCTGTTTCAAAAATAAATAAATAAATACATAAATAAAATTTGATTTTGATAGTCTTAATTTTGGGACATTTGAATGACAACTTTTGAACACTTCCATGATTTTGGTGCCTGCAGTTTCAGTTGTCTTTAAAATTTTAGTGGCTTCAAATATGTATTGAGGCTGATTTTATTTGTAAATAATTTGGTGTAATTTGCATCTATACCAAAAGGCATTAGTATGAAGATTTGGCAGTAATTCAAATAGAATAGTAGTTTCCAAATTTTAATCACTCAAGCAGTACCTGTACAATTTTTGGTAAATTATAAATTACCACTGATAGTATTATTTTCTCAAAATTTTTCTTCGTTTCAGATAGACTCATTATTTTTTTACATAGCCTTCAGATTGTGGTTGTGAAGTGCTAATTGTATATACATTTTACTGTAGTTACTATAATTAAAATAGGAATGCTCCATCTGTGTAATACCAGGATTTGCATATTTGAGAAATTTCTGGAATAGAGAAAAGTGGTAACAGAGTTTAGTTTCCTTGCAGCACATGGCAGTATAAAAACATGTCAAACTCTAAAACTTGTGTCGTTGCAATTAGAACCAGATTCGTATTACAAGTAAATTCATATGATCAGTAAAATTTAATTTCAGCTAATTACCATTAATCACACTAAATTTGTCTTCATTTGAATTTTATTGGTTTTATAGAGTTTGTACTATTTCCCTTGTAGGTTAAAAAAATTTGTTTTTATATTTTATATTATATGTTTGTTTTTATATTTTATATTTGTTTCTATATTTTAAGGAGTTATATTTAATTTTGAATTCATGTATAAACAAACAATTTAACATTTAGATCTTTGAGAATATTTCTTTAAAAGTGGCTGATGTAATATTCAGGTTTGAGAAATGTTGCTTTATTTGATCTGGTGTGAGTTCTGCGTTCATAAACTGCCAGTAGGTTTATTTTGTTGATGTGTTAAATAAATTCATTGAATAATACTCTTCATTGTGATAGGAAGATTTCAGTGATAGGAAATTATTCTAGAATAAAAGGGAGCCCTGGACTCTTCTGTTTCTGAAGCTGTTCTCATCCTTTTGCTCTCACTGCCTTTCTCACCTGTTGTCTGGGTTTGGTTAGTGTTTCAGTGAAGGGCCCTGTATATGTTCAGCTTACAGGATTGAGTATTGTAATTGTCGTTCATGTCTTCCTTTGCCTACCAGGTTTCATTTTCTCTTCTCTATCGATGACAAGTCATAGGTTTTATTCTAAATTCCAGGTTCAGATATCTAGCTACTTACAGCTCTTGTGGATTTTTTTAAATGCTGGTGTCTTGCTGTGTTATCCAGGCTGACCTCAAACTCCTGGGCGTAAGCAGTCCTCCCACCTCAGCCTCTAGAGTAGCTGGGATTATAGGCACCTACCACTGTGCCTAACTAACTTAATTTTTGTGAATTCTAAGAATTTTCATTTTTCTCCCAGTAGAGTGACCTATATTTTTTATATTATTTAGTTGCTTTTTTTCCTGCCACATAGGGATAGGGATATATTCATGTTGATTAGCAGTCTTATTTTTCCTTTTCTGCGAATGAATGTATACTCTTTTATTTGTTATATTTAAAAAATGACCTCTAGTTTTGGCAGACTGGCTTTGTAGTACATATCCTTATCCCTTGCAAAATTTAGATAATACTAGCTAGCTTTTTTTTTAATAGTACTTATGTGTAAAGCACTGTGCTACAGACTGACATGTATTTTTTAATCTTCTAACAACCCTTTGAGGGTAGGTGTTATTATTAGCAAAGCTGTTTTATAGGTGAGAATAGTGAGATCCAGAAAGGTTAAGTAACTTGACCAAAGTCACACAGCTAATAAGTGGTAGAGCTGGGATTTAAATGAGACATTCTTGTTCTTTAGTCTATGCACTGTCAATATCTGGGCTCTCACTTTAATAAGATGAACTCCTTAATTGCAAAAACTCTATTCAGAGTATACATATTTACTATATTTTCAGTGAAAACTTGAAAAAGCTTTGTACCAATTATTAATCTCAAAAGGCCCTTTAGAGATTATCTAGTTCTAGTGTATTTGAATTCTCATCCAGAGCAGAGCCTGTGTTAGACTGTTATTCTGGAGTGTTTTTCACACAACCATGCTTCCTTTCTACTGCAAAGCCTTAAGAGGTTTTTAGCAACAGATAAATTAATTTTTCTTTTTATTGTTTAGGAGGGTGTTGATGAGTCTTTCATAAAAGAAGCTGTTTTAGCCCGATTAGGTGATGATAATATAGATGTTGTTTTGGCGGCAATAAGTGCTTTTGAGGTAAGTGAATTTGTCATTTGTTGAGCTATACAATTTTATAAATTTTCTTGCCCTTCTCACTTGATTCTCTGCTTGAGATTAGAATATTTTTGGAAATTTCCATGGGAAATTTGTTCTCTTGAGAGTAAAGACTTAAGTGTAGTTAGGAGGAACTCATAGGAATTTACAATTTGATATATTAAGTATATGCATTTAATACAGGAAAAATGCTTTGTGACTTTTTGTATTGCTTTTAACATATTTTTATCAATAGCAAATACCTTGGAACCAATGAAAATTATCTTATGAATGCCACTTTTGAGAAATAGATCTTAAAACTTCTAAGTTGTGCTAGGATTCTTGGGAGAAGTTCCTTATAATTCATTCTTTTTAAAATTTGCGTTTAAAAAGCACCATACATGTTTGAAGCAAGTACAAGTCTACTCATGGATACTTTTTTCCCTTTAGATTTTCAAAGAACACTTCAGTTCAGAAGTGACGATTTCAAATCTTCTGAATCTCTTTCAAAGAGCAGAACTTTCAAAGAATAGAGAATGGTATGTATTCATTTCTTCTCCTATTTTGAATTGATGAAGTTCTTGTGTTAAATTCTTTCTGGTCACATGATCCTTTTGTTGTGGTAGTAGAACAGATCTTAATGTAATACTCTTTCATTATATAGTTAATTAATTTGAATGTGTGTGTGTTCATTATACTATTCTCTATGTTTGGAATTTCCCTTAATAAAGTGCAAAAGGAAGTATATAATATATGATACTGAATTCTGGGAAGTAAGATGGGAAGTACTTTCTAATTTTCTACTTTATATAATTTAATATAATTTTTACTTTATAATTAAAAACAAACACCAATATATTAAACAAATTAAAAAATAAATTCAGAGACACATGATTCCATCTGTGGTAAGTATTTAATAAGCTCTAGCTGTTTCCTTTTTGGCATCAAAGCTTTTTGCAAGTAAAAGCAGGTAAGCTCCATAGAGGATGAGAGTGTGTCTTTCATGTTTTTGTATCCATCATATAGGTAGATATCTATCATGTAGATTGTGCTTGGTTCATTTTTTTTTTATCTAATTCCTGAGTGAATCTGATTTCCAGTGGAGTTGAGATAGCTAGTGTGATATGTTTTATGTTATGGTTAACCTCTAGTGATTTCTCTAAGAATTTTTTTTTTTTTTTTAAGATTAGACAGGATGAGCAGATTAAAAGTATTTTTGGCCAGGCAGCATGGATCATGCCTATGATCCCAGCACTTGTACAAAAAAATAATAAATGTATTGTCACAGATAACTCTGTTATTGGCATGGATTTTAAGTGGTATCTCAGTGTGTCTGAATAATATTTTTGATCAGAAGACCAGGATATTGTCAGCTAAGCTGTAATAGTGTGATGATTAATTTGTGTCTTTCAACTAAATGTGCCTGCATGTCTTTTAGGTACGAGGTACTTAAGATAGCAGCTGACATATTAATTAAAGAAGAGATACTGAGTGAAAATTATCAGTTGTCAAATCAGGTGGTTACACATTTATTACCATTTATGGTCATCAATAATGATGATATGGAATCTGCCGAGATGAAAATTGCTATATATTTATCAAAATCAGGAATCTGCTCTCTGCACCCTCTATTAAGAGGCTGGGAAGAAGGTAAGAAATTTAGTTGTTTTTAGAAAAAGTGAACAGATAACACAAAAGAAACCAAAAAAAATGTAAAATTTATTGTTTGTCCTGTTATATGCCAGTAAGGTCTTTTAAAATTTTTACCAAAATGAAAAATATACAATGAAAAGGAAGCCAACTCACTGATAGACAGATTCAGAATTGGATACAAGGAAAAATAAAAAGCAAACCTTCATAAACAGTTGTAAAATGTTTGCCTGAATTCTTCATATGATTCTTTGAGTGTTGGTGACATAAAAGCTCTCGGTATTCAATTTTGCTTTACAGCTCTCGAAAATGTGATTAGAAACAGAAAGCCAGGAAAACTAATTGGTGTAGCGAATCAGAAGATGATTGAGTTATTGGCTGATAATATAAATTCAGGAGATCCGTCTTCAATGTTAAATGTGGTAAGTATGCTGTGAAAGTCCTCCCCTGGATTTCTTTCTCATACTCTTATAAATTCTCAGCATTTGCTTCACTAGATTTTTCTTTAAAAAAAATTTTTTTTCATTCTTGAGTACTTGGTTTTACTTTAAACATTACAGTGTTGTTTAATATATTTTGTGCAATATTTGACATCTTTAACATTTTATATATTTTTTCAATGTGGATCCATATCACAGCCATAAGAATAAGATATCCTTTTTACCGCCATTTTCTCCCATTCCCATTTAAGATATTAGTCTTAGTTTTTTTTCTTGTTAAAATAGCAAAATACAATCCAAAAGAGGAGAAAATTATTTTTGCCTTACTAAATAAACATTTGTAAAGGTATTAGATGTGTGCTTTAAATACATTAACCAGTTGGCAAGTGCAAATATGTTCATTACAATTTCTGAAGCTATTCTTATAATTACTTAGAAATCAGTGCTTAATACTTTATAAAGGCTTTATAGGTGTCATCTCACTTTAAGTGTAAAACATATCATACCTAGATAGACCTGAGTTGAAAAAATTGTTTTATGAAAATGAAGAGCAACAGTAATAGAGTGTGTTTATTTTTCCAGGTGGAGGATTTAATAAGCATGGGTGACAAGGAGTCCTTTAACCTGAAGCAGAAAGTGACATGTCACGTGATCATGTCTGTGCTCGTCTCTTGTTGTTCATCTTTGAAGGAAACCCACTTTCCATTTGCGATAAGAGTCTTCAGTTTGCTGCAGAAAAAAATAAAGAAACTTGAAAGTGTCATTACTGCAGTGGTAAGGAAAGCAGAGTCTCCAGAAGGTGGGGTGTTGAATAAAGCAACAGCCTGGCCTGTTAGTCACAGCAAAACGGAAAATCAGAGGCGAGATGTTGAGTCTGTGGCTACTAGCTGGATGAAATGTGAAGCAGTCCTGGGTAGCAGTGGGATAGTCAATTAGGCACTCCCTTGCTTTTTACAGAAAATTTAGTCGAATTATAAAATTTCAAGGTTGCAGTATTTTGTATCTAATGCCTGACTCCTTCTTGTTATCTTTATTGGATCATTAGCCAAGCTACACCTAACTACCTGTAGTGATGAAGAATTCACTTGGTGTGTTAGTGCTTGAACAAAATACTATTTCATTCAATTGTTTACTAAAAAGAGATCTTTTCAGCTTTATAAAATTTTAATATTACATAGATTTGTATCCCTCCATCATACTACTGTCATTGATAGCATTACTAAGGGACTTGTTGCAGCTGTTTGCATTTTTACTTCATGATACATCTTGAGGTAGCAAGACTATTTTTAATATCTGCTATATGTAATAGGATTGTTTTTATTTGTCCCCGAAATTTTAGAGGGCGTCTCATTATAGGATTCACTAAATGAATTATATCTTTTTCTTTTTTTTTTTTTTTTTTCCTTGAGACGGAGTTTCACTCCTATTACCCAGGCCGGAGTGCAATGGCGCGATCTCGGCTCACCGCAACCTCCGCCTCCCGGGTTCAGGCAATTCTCCTGCCTCAGCCTCCTGAGTAACTGGGACTACAGGCATGCGCCACCATGCCCAGCTAATTTTTTGTATTTTTAGTAGAGACGGGGTTTCACCATGTTGACCAGGATGGTCTCGATCTCTTGACCTCGTGATCCACCCGCCTCGGCCTCCCAAAGTGCTGGGATTACAGGCGTGAGCCACCGCGCCCGGTGAATTATATCTTTTTCACATTTACATGTACCCCCAGGATTTTATAAGTTCTGATCATGACCACTGTTAGCTAAAATCTCTAAGCTTTGAAAAGAGTTGTCTTCATATTTTGAAAAATAGCCCAGATAGACCCTTCTTAACTTCTAATTTCTTTGTGCCTTTTGTGAAATGTGATGACCTGAACTATACTGGTTCTCTGTGTTAAAAGTTTGGACAAATTGACTGTTTTATTATACGTATTTAGATATGTATAATATTTAGATTATTTTATATTGCTTTACTTTTTATATTGCTTTACTTTTAATACCCTTTCTTGAGGTCATGAGCATATTTTCGCCTGTAGTAGCGCATTGAGTTAATTAAATCCCTCACTGGAGACATTACATTATAAATCTGGCTTTGGATTGTTTTCCTTCTAAGTTATAACTCTGTACCGGTTGTATGGAGTCACATTTGTCATTTTCTTATAGCTGTTCTTCTGCATTCTTTTGGCATTTGCAGTATAATTTCTAAACACCTAACATTTTACTGCTTGTTTAAAATCATCTGCAGGTTTGGAAATTTTACCGTGTACCTTATTCAGATTAGTGCTAAAACCGTGAAATGAAAGAAGTCCCTTTAACGATGTCTTGGGAATCCAACTCTTTTATCTTCTTGTTTTGAAATATGCCTATTTTGGCCAAGCGCAGTAGCGTACACCCTTGTAATCCCAGCATTTTGGGAGGCCAAAGCAGGTGGATCACCTGATTCGAGACCAACCTGGCCAACATGGTGAAATCCTGTCTCTACTAAAGATAACAAAAATTAGCCTGGCATGATGGCACACGCCTGTATTCCTAGCTACTCGTAAGGCTGAGGCAGGAGAATCGCTTGAACCTGGGAGGCAGAAATTGCAGTGAGCTGAGATTGTGCCATTGCACTCCAGCCTGGGTGACAGAACAAGACTCCATCTCAAAAAAAAAAGAAAGAAAGAAAGATGCCTACTTATTCCTACCCTTTATTTGATAGACAGTTTATATGAATAAAGTTTGTTTTTAGAAGTAGTGTTTTAAGGTAAGACATAGAGAAAATTTAACTTAATCTTTATCTTTCCTTGGGAATAGTGATAGTTAGACCTCTTTAAAAATCTGACGAAAGCAGTTCTGTTACTCCTTTCCCCACCAAAATGCGCACATAAACAAAAGTTTTGCATATTACTCAGAGGAATTCATGTATCCATTGCAGTTTACCCATATAACCCATGTTCAGAACCCTTCATTTATACCAGTTTTTGTTTCCCTTCACATTTCAGGAAATCCCCTCAGAATGGCACATTGAACTGATGCTAGACAGAGGGATACCAGTGGAGGTGTGGGCACATTATGTGGAAGAGCTCAACACTACCCAGAGGGTGGCCGTGGAGGACTCTGTTTTACTTGTATTTTCCCTGAAAAATTTTATGTATGCACTGAAAGCTCCTAAGTCTTTTCCTAAAGGTAAGACACAAGCTGTGAATCTTTTAAATGTGATACTCTGCAAAACTGAATGATTGACTCCACAGCAATTGTTTTTCTTGAATAAAAAGCTCCTGGCCTGTTCATGTAGGGTTGTGTATCCTTTCTCTTTCCATGTCCATGTAGGTGACATATGGTGGAATCCTGAGCAACTGAAAGAAGACAGCAGGGACTATCTGCACCTGCTTATGGGACTCTTTGAGATGATGCTCAGTGGTGCTGATGCTGTTCATTTCAGGGTTCTGATGAAACTTTTCATAAAGGTATAAGGCTCATCCTTTCCAGGCGTACTGTACTCTTAAAGAAGATATGACTGGCTGAGTGCAGTGGCTCATGCCTGTAATCCCAGCAATTTGGGAGGCCGAGACGGGTGGATCACTTGAGGTCAGGATTTTGAGACCAGCCTGGCCAACATGGTAAAACCCCGTCTCTACTAAAAAATACAAAAATTAGTTGGGCGTGGTGGCAGTCACCTGTAATTGCAGCTACTCGGGAGGCTGAGGCAGCAGAATCACTTGAACTCGGGAGGTGGAGGCTGCAGTGAGCCAAGATTGCACCACTGCACTCCAGCCTGGGTGACAGAGTAAGACTCTGTCTCAAAATAAAAAAAGAAGATACTGTGGGTTGAGTTTGGACAGTTTATAATGAAAACGAAAGTAGACTTGTAAACAATGAAGCGTATATAATAGTAAGCACGGGCCCTGTAAAAGAGTACTACATTACAGTGTTCATCGGCAAATTGAACAGAAACTAACATTGCTACACTCCTACTAACATGTTAGGCCCATTACTATGTTTAAAAATCACAACAGTCCAGTCTTTTTGATTGGTTAATATCATTTAAAAATGTGAATACTGATGTTCAGAGAGGTTATTTAGCACATGTGAAGTTACTCAGGAAATTTCAGCCCCAGTACCAGTGACCTCCATGTTGCTGGGCCCAGTGATCAGTTGCTGTTCTTGTCTGACTTGTTCTCTCGACAGCATTTGACATTGAGTTAGCATTGTTCACTACATTGTTGAAGTCTTTTCTTAATTAGGCATCCCAGATACCACTCCTGTCTTGGTTCTCAGTGTTTTCAGGTGCAAGGTTGAGTGTCAAGCTTTGGAATATCAGTCTTCATTGACATTTTTGCCAGTTGTTTAAAACATGAAATATAGAATAATTTGAAATAATTAGACAGAGCAAAACATTGCATTACATTATTTGTTTCTTTCTAATTGTACACTAGTCAAAAGAGGGTTTGGAACCAACTTATTTGAGTAAGAATTAAAACTTTACTGTCTTTTTTTTGTAATTAGGTACATCTACAAGATGTTTTTCAGTTATTCAAGTTTTTTTCTGTTTTATGGACCTATGGTTCTAGCCTTTCAAATCCACTTAACTGCAATGTGAAAACAGCGCTGCAGACTCAAGCTCTTTATGTGGGCTGTGCAATGCTCTCTTCTCAGAAGACACAGTGTAAACACCAACTGGCATCCATATCTTCTCCAGGTACTAAAAGTAGCATTGTTATGTTTTGTCATGACCAACTGTTCATGCTTTCTCTGTATGATTTATGTAGTTTAGAAAATTATAACTTAAAAAGAAAACAGCAGAGGACAGGCGAGGTGGATCACAAGGCCAGGATATTGAGACCATTCTGGTAAACATAGTACAACCCGGTCTCTGTTAAAAATGTAAAAATTAGCTGGGCCTGGTGGCACGTGCCTGTAATCCCAGCTACTCCAGGAGGCTCAGGCAGGAGAATCACTTGAACCAGAGAGTTGAAGGCTGCCGTGAGCTGGGATTGCGCCACTGCACTCCAGCCTGCCAACAGAGTAAGATTCTGTCTCAAAAAATATATGTATATGTAACTATATAGGCCAGACTAGGTGGCTCATACCAATAGTCTCAGCACTTTGGGAGGCTAAGGCAGGAAGATCACTTCAGGCCAAGAGTTTGAGACTAGCTTGGACAATGTGATGAGATCCTGCCTCTACAATAAATACAAAATTTAGCTGGGCGTGGTAGCTACTCAGGTGCCTGAGGTAGAAAAATGGCTTGAGCCCGGGAGGTCAAAGCTGCAGTGAGCTGTGATCATACCACTGCACTCCAAACTGGGCAACAGAGCGAGAGACCATGTCTTAATTAAAAAACAAAACAAAACAAAAAAAACTGTACGTCTATACATATTTCTGTTTACTTCTAAGTATTGCATGGCACTCACAAAAGCTCACCAAACTCAAAAGTTTAATAATAGAAATATCTTTCATTATATGAGTTCTTAATAATCAGCTATTCATTTTCTGAGCTATAGCAGCAATAGGGTTAGATATGGAAGCCAGATCTTCATAATACAATTTAATAATGAAATAACAAAAAAACCCTCCTGCATTTATGTCTTTTATCAGGCATAAGTCATATTCAGGTTCAGCGTTCTCTAATGAAATATCTGAAAGTTGAATTTTTTATAATGTGGAATTGCAAATTTTGCAAAAGATGCAGAATTTCAAGAAACAATGCGATGTTGAAAAGTGGGTTGACTTACAGAGCTGTTGACATGGGGGGATGTGGCAGAATTAGATCAGAGAAGAATGGTTGAAGATAAAAAAATTGATTTGAATAAGGGACATGACTGATGCTTCAAACTGGAGTGGTATTAACAGCAGAGGGATAAGAGTGGCCCTTGGGAAATTTGAAGATGTCCTTGTTTTTTTTCTTTTTTTAAATTCCAAAATTGCTCTTTGTAAATGTTCTGTGAAAGCAAGGTAAATGATTGTATACTTTTCCCTGAACAATTTTGCAGTATTTTTTATTAGTTCTTTGAAAGAGCACATAATTACATGTGTAACCAAATTTTGTTGCGTATAAAGTAAAGTAGTTATGTAATTTCAAGTTTTATTTCTCAAATAAAATTCCATAAAAGTAATTTTTTATCCACTTACAAAATTTCGGTCTTCATTTTAGGTGAGTTTATTGTTAAGGTTTTGCTAGTTATATTTGGATAAGAACAACTCCCTATACATTTTTTAACTTTTATTTTTTAATTAATGTGTTATGGAGATCTTTCCATATTAATAAATGTAAAAATTTATCTTTTTACAACTGCCTGCAGAGTATTCCATTGTATGGAGATAGCAATTTATTAAAATAGTTATTTTCCGCCCAACTTGTGAGTTTTCCAAAAGGTACATGTGTATTACTTAGAGATAACTTTCAGTTTTCCAATTTGGTATTAAATGTTTACTGTCCTTTGACAGTGACCTCTGAGTAATTATGTTATTTTGACTATAAATAGCAAGATGGAAGAACTTCACTTTTCCTCCGGTATTGCTGCTGGACAGGCTCCCTGCCTACCCCTGCTGCCTCGTCATCCATCTCCTCCTGCCTTCCTAATGTGCTTTGCATTTACGCTGTGTAGACCTGTCGCAGTACCCCTGAACACAGGAGAGATGCACCTTGTTCTACATGGTGGTTCAAAGAGCAGACCCTAGAGTTGCAGAGGGCCTCAAGTGGAAGGCTGCTTACTGCACTTGCTCTAAGGGCTCCTACCTGAGGTCTGCAGTGAGCTGCTAGCCCTACCTTGTCTGTGAGCAGTCTAGGAATTATTGCTTGGCATCTGTTTGAATATATTTACAGAAATGTCATGTTCAAAAGTAAAATAGGATGTTATATAGTATTAATCATATATAAATATGTTATAATTAATTATATTTATTAAATTTTTGTGTTCAAAAGTAGAAGGTAATACAATGTTATATTACAATTATATAACATGACATGGTAATATAATATAATATTATATTAGTTTTTGTCAGTGGCTTGGGAATCTAACCACCATTTATTACTTTCTATGCAGGTGTATATTATAAAAAGTCTGAGTTAAATGAGTAAATACAATCTTCTTTTTCCTTTTTTTGCATGATGTAGTCTCACTTAGTCATCTAGGCTGGAGTGCAGTGGTGCCATCTTGGGTCACTGCAACCTCCACCTCCTGGGTTTAAGCAATTCTCCTGCCTCAGCCTCCCAAGTAGCTGGGATTACAGGCATACACCACCACACCGGCTAATTTTTGTATTTTTAGTAGAGACGGGGTTTCACTGTGTTGGCTGGGCTGGTTTTGAACTCCTGGCCTCAGGTGACCCACTCACCTCACCCAGCCTCCCAAAGTGCTGGGATTAAAGGCATAAGCTACTTGCATTCGGCCAATACACATCTATTCTACCTATCATTTGTGAGATAGGGGCTACCTTTCGTTTATTTTGTATGCTCAATCAATGTATTAAGTCTGTTTTTACGTTTAAAAGCAAACCTCATGTATTTTTCAATTTTTATGTAAAAACATGCTATTGTAAATCTAAATAAAATCAGTTGAAAGAATGAAATCACATAGATTTTTAAATGAAAGGATAAAAATTCTAGGCTGGGCATGGTGGCTCACTCCTGTAATCCCAGCACTTTGGGAGGCTGAGGTGGGCGGATCACCTGAGGTCAGGAGTTCAAGACCAGCCTGGCCAATATGGTGAAACCCCATCTCTACTAAAAATCCAAAAATTAGCCAGGCGTGGTGGCGCACGCCTGTAATCCCAGCTACTGGGAAGGCTGAGGCGGGCAAATTGCTTGAACTCAAGAGGCGTAGGTTGTAGTGAGCCGAGATCATGCCTCTGCACTCCAGCCTGGATGACAGAATGAGACTCCACCTCCAAAAAAAAAAAAAAATTCCAAAAGCTGATCATTTAAGTAAGTGGCTGTGATTTAATGTTGGATTCCAGTATCTTACTTGAACATGATAACTTTGGTAGTTGGTACTTTGAATTTGTCTTTGAATTTTGGTATTTTAGAAGCTTTCCTCCCCACTCTTCAGGGAATATTACCAAACAGATGTTTTGGCCCAAGGCTGCCCCTTGTGTGAACTCAACTTTCCATCTGTTTGTTCCTGACTTTGTTTTATAAATTATCCATATGAAAACCAGAAAGGATTTCCAGTTTTCACAGATTATACAGGTTGAGTGTCCCTTATCCAACATCATGTTTGGGACCAAAAGTGCTTGGGGCTTCAGATTTTTTCAGATTTTGGAATGTTTGCATCTGTGTAATGTAATATCTTGGAATGGAACCTAGGTCTGAACACAAAATATGTTTTATATACACCTTTTGAACGTCGCCTGAAGGTAATTTTATCTAATTTTTTACATTTTATTTTAGGAGACAGTTTCTCACTTTGTTGCCCAGGGTATAGTGCAGTGACACAATGTTGGCTCACTGCAACCTCTCCCCACCCTTCTCCTTCTCTGCCACCATGCCCAGCTATATATATATTTTTTTAAAGACAGAATCTCGATCGGTCACTGTCGCCAAGCTGGAGTGCAGTGGCGCGATCTCGGCTTACTGCAACCTCTGCCTCCTGGGTTCAAGTGATTCTTCTGCCTCAGCCTCCTGAGTAGCTGGGACTACAGGTGCACGTCACCATGCCCAACTAGTTTTTGTATTTTTAGTAGAGACAGGGTTTTGCCATATTACCCAAGCTGGCCTCCTGACCTCAAGTGATCCACCTGCCTCGGCTTCCCAAAGTGCCAGGATTATAGGTGTGAGCCACCATACCCAGCCCTGTTTTAGTTTTTAATTGCAGCCTCGAACTCCTGGCCTCAAGCCATCCTCCCATCTCAGCCTCCCTCATAGCTAGGAGCAAAGCCCTGTGCCACTATGCCTTACTAATTTTTTTGTTAAATGTGTAGAGACAGGGTCTTGGTGATGTTGTCCAGACTAGTCTTGAACTCCTGGCCTTAAGTGATTCTCCTCCCTCAGCCTCCCAAAGTGCTGGGGTGACAGGCATGAGCCCCTGTGTCCATCCAGTTTTATACACTATTTTTAATAATTTTGTGCTCGGAACAATGGTTGGGGACATTGAACCATTTATCCTTTGTGGGCATCTTGTGTGGAGGAATTTTGGCTTTTGAAAAAGATATATTGCAGCTGCAGGGAGCTGGGAGGCTCTTTTTTCCCGTAGGGATACTGAATAAACAGTTGTATGCCTGCATTTTCACTGCAGCTCATCACCTGAGGTTCAGTGTGGAATTTTCCATTTGCATCATATTGGCACTCCAAAAATTTGAGGTTTTGGATTTTTGGATAAAGGTTACTCAGCCTGTATGCACTTCTTAGACAGGTTTGAAAGCTTGTCAAGCTTTGTCTTAGTGTTTCAGAAGTGGAAAGTATACTGGATAATTTCTAGCAAAATATAAATGACCGAGTTTGCTGCAGTAGATAGCAGGAAATGAAGCTTAAATAACTAATTACTGTAAAAGGAATTTAGGTATCTCTTTGTTCCAAATACATCTTTTTAAAAACCCTAGTGCAGTTGGTCTCACAGATGCATTCTTACTAGATCTCTGAGGCAGCTTTTTTCAATGTTGTTGAACTGGGCAGGGCATAGAGAAGGGAAGCTTCCAGATTCTTTGTCTAAAACTGGCACAACACTGAAAATTGAGAAAGTCTCCAGACAAAAAACTATAATCCATGTTGCTTTGAAGAATATTATGTAAAAATCCTAAATATTTGCAAATAGGATCTAACAGCATATTTAAACAAATAATCATTTACCCAGCTAGAGTTCACGCCCAGAATATAAAATTGGTTCAGTAAAAGGAAGTATGTTAATGTAATTGACTATATCAGTGTTGAAGGGCAAAACCCATAAAATGTCCGAAGATCTGAAAAGATAATTATCCAAAAATCAGTGGTTATTCCTAATTGAAAGCAAAATAGGAGTAACATGATCCAAAAATTCCTCAAATCAAAACTAGCATTTTCACTTCATAATTGGGAAAACAAAGGCATTCCTGTTAAAATCACCACTATCATTGAACATGATTCTAGAAGTACTAGCTGGCAGAAATAGACAAGTTTCAAGTCTTTATGGAATGTATCAGTATAATAAAGCTGAAATCAAAGATCTGTAATACGGTTATGTGGATTGTTAAATGGGACATCTGGCTATCCATTTGGAAACGTTAGAAAGTTTGACTCCAACCTCATTCTTTATATAAAAATTTCATGTGAACTAAAGATTTAACATCAACTTAGCTCTGGCATTAGAAGAAAGCATGAAGTACATATGATCTCTCTCTAAATATAGAGAGAGATACTTTCTAAATTCACTTAGAGTGGGGAGGGCCTTTCTAAGCAACAGAAAAAAACTAGAAGAAAAATTTAACCATAACGATTCTCTGTCAAAAAGTGAAATCACACACACCAGTCTGAGACCAAATATTGCCAAAGTATGATGCACAAATGAATAATTCCCTGTGCACACTTGTACAAGGCTGTATGTACAGGGGTGTTTGTTGCAGCATTGTAATGATGACAAAGGAATAGAAACAACTTGAACTTCACCAGTAAGGTACTGGTTTTAAGAATATGGAAAATACATTAAAGTATACTTTACAATTAAAAAGAATGATTTAATTAGGATATAGGTGTACTTATGGAAAACACTCCGCAGAGTTGAGATGTGTCTGTAATCCCAGCACTTTGGGAGGCCAGGGTAGGTGGATCATTTGAGATCAGGAGTTCGAGACCAGCCTGGCCAACATGGTAAAACGCCATCTCTATTAACAATACAAAAATTAGGCAGGTGTGGTGATGCGCACCTATAATCCCAGCTACCCGAGAGACTGAGGCAGGAGAATTGCTTGAATCCAGGAGGCGGAGGTTAACAGTGAGCTGAGACCACGCCACTACACAACATCCCGTTCAGATGTGGTAGTAGTTGGTGTAGAACAGGGTTTATACTATGCTCTTATTTCTGTATTTTCAAAAGAATGCGCCAGATAACATACACCTATCATTTCTCTGGAATATTAAATACTTAAACAGTGAACAGTCTCTGGAGAGGGAGTTTGAATTTGAAGGGAAACTTTTTATCAAGTACCTTTGGAACAATGTAAATTTTGTACTGTTTCAGTTTTTAAAATTGTTTTTTAAATCTTTTTCCCTTTTGGTTTTAGTGGTGACATCTTTACTCATTAACCTGGGAAGCCCCATAAAAGAAGTTCGTAGGGCTGCCGTTCATTGTCTCCAGGCCCTCAGTGGAGTGGTGTCCCCGCTTCATCTGATAATAGATGATCTGATTTCTAAAGCAGAGGAGATCACTTCAGATGCTACGTATGTTATTCAGGTAAGCTCGTTAGCAAAGATTCAGTGTGTTCATGCCTGTGCGTGCACATGAGCAGTTTTCTCCATTCTTGATGTTTTACTGTGTAGGGATTTTGATGAACTAAGTCCTTGAATTTAGGAACTGATATGTCAGTATCTGTACATCTGTCTCCTCCTACTTTTTAAAAGATAGCAATGTCATATTTCAGTTTCTTTCTTTTCATTGGATAAAGGACTAGTGTATAGCTTTTCATAGTAAGCCAACTATGTATTATAAATAACTTTTCTTATTAAGGTTTTAAGGGGAAATAGAAAATTGTAAACAATGTCACATCATTTGGGTAAGAATCTTCCATAATTAATATATTTAGCCTTTATAGTTTCTTAACCCTTTTTTAATCCCGTTTTCTTTTTGGTATCTTAGGATTTGGCTACTTTGTTTGAGGAACTGCAGAGAGAAAAGAAACTGAAATCTCATCAGAAGTTATCTGAAACTTTGAAAAACTTACTTAGTTGTGTATATAGTTGCCCATCTTATATAGCAAAAGATTTGATGAAAGTACTTCAGGGAGTCAACAGTGAGGTATGTGCCATTTAAGTGGGTTGTACGTTCCTGTGATGTTACTAAAGAATTGTAACTGCTTGTGGATGAGGAAGACAATTGCAAGAGTTGCATGTGTGCACTCAGGAGAGATAACTGTAATATTAATTTGGGAGGGGGATGGGTCGAGGTAGAGAAAAAAAGATACAAGGTACAAAACAAGCACTGGTGAGTTTCTTTTTATTTTAAAATTAAATGTGTTGTCCCTGTCTAATCATTAAGTTTATTTTAAATGAACTTAACTGTCTGGTGTCTGTCTCGTGGGGCTGCACTTCGGTATATCTGTTTTTCAAGTGAAAATTTTATACAAAGCAATATATTTGGACATGCGTCTGTGAAAATTCCAAAATCATTTGCTTGTTTATTAGATATATTTAGAGCTTTCATTATGTTCTCAAGGAAGCTTGTGTTAGAAAAGAAAGCAGTTGTGAAACACTTGTTTATGTGATGGCATGTGCTGACCAGCAGAGAAAAGGTTTCTTTACCCCAGTGTTCCAAAAACACCTGTGCACTTCATCAGCCTTAGACTGCCTATAGACTTAGAAAACTAAAATGAGTAAAACGGACTGAAGACCATTTGATTACATTTTTTTGGTAGGAACAAACAGGTTGCGTTCAACTCTTAGTTGTCCCTGGTATAGTTTAAATTAGGAACTGACAAATTGTGTAAAAGACCAGATAGAAAAGATCTTATGCATTCCGGACCACACAGTCTCTGTTACAGCTGCTCAGCTCTGCTGTTTTATCAGGAAAGCAGCCACAGACAGCGTATAAACAAATATGCATGGCTGTGTTTCAGTACATACAATTTACAAAAACAGGTGGTCTATTGAATTTGGCCTTCAAGCCACAATTTGCTGGCCCCTGATTTAGTAGTTAAAGATTCACATACATAATTTGAATTAATATTTATTATACCAAGTTGGAAACATTCAGGGATGCATACAGTGTTTTAGGGAATGTTAAGCTTTAGTTTTATACACTAAAGTTTTAGTTTGTGACTTCTGTTCTTAAGTCTTGAAGGATGCTCACGGATTATCTTTCTACTCGTCTTTTAAGGGTTTAGCGCTTTTGAGCATTACACATGAACTATCAGAAAGGACCTGAGTGCCTTGGTGTGAATTAATAGCTGTCTCCATATCTAAGAAGTTATCATTACTGGGTTTTTTTCCTCCGGGCTACACTCCCATCATCCAACAGGATATCTTTGGGTGTCTCTGTAGAGTGAGCAAAAACATACCAGTGTAGGTAACTATTTACTAATAAGTCTTTCAATCTTTAGATGGTGCTTTCTCAGCTATTGCCTATGGCTGAACAACTGCTAGAAAAGATTCAGAAGGAGCCCACAGCTGTCTTGAAAGATGAGGCCATTGTTTTGCATCTCACTCTGGGAAAGTATAATGAATTTTCATCTTCCCTTTTAAATAAGGATCCGAAGAGTCTAGATATATTTATAAAAGCTGTGCACACAACAAACGAACTTTACGCAGGAATGCCAACCATTCAGATTACAGCCCTTGAAAAGGTCAGTGATTTCTTTCAGAAACTAAGGCATGGCAAGTTCAAGCATTTAAGGGTGAAGGCAACAGGAACAGAGTAAAAGAAAAACGTAGTATTTTATTTGGAGAAGATAGTTATAGGTGAACTTGACATGTTTTAAAGGAATGTAATATATTTGACCCATTTTGCAAAAGTGAATGTTGTACATGGGTCATTAAAAAGAATTGGCGTTTTCACTGACATATTTAAATGGGAAACAATTTTATATTTCCAGAGAGGGTGATAAAAACTTTATTTCTGGAGTTTAAACTTATTCACTGAACTCATTTGCCTTTTTTCTACCCCCTCTAGATTACAAAACCATTTTTCGCAGCCATATCAGATGAAAAAGTTCAGCAGAAGCTTTTAAGAATGTTGTTTGATTTATTGGTGAACTGTAAAAACTCACGTTGTGCTCAGACTGTCAGCAGTGTTTTTAAAGGGGTAAGCTGCAAACTTCGTGCAGGTTTTTTTATTAATGTTTAGTCTCTTCCAAGGGACACCATGTTTAAGAGTCCAGCATTTTATAGTGCTTCTAAGAGGTCAGATGTTACCATTAACAAGAATCATGGAAAAGTAAATCAGAGAGGCATAAAATAAAAATTATAAGTCTTTACCGTTATTTTATTTTATGAAATATTTATTGATAGTTTGAACCAGATAGGGTGTGTAGGAATTTGTTTGTGTGTGCTCTTACTGGTACTAGGTGGAATCTACCTATTCCTTTATGCAGGGAATGGGAATGAGTGAGTGGCTCAGTGTTGAAGTAGGTAGCTTCATTCTACTTAATTTAAACAGTTGTTTAATGACATATAATGGAATTGAAATTCTGCTTGTTAGTTTCATATGTATATTGAAACCTAGCTATTGTCTGACTAGCCACCTGGTTATTCTGTTTTACTGAATATAGAATAATATGAAGTTCTAGTATCTAGATTCAGCAATTCTCAGAATTTTAACATATTTAGTTAATCTTTTTCCTTGTCTTTGCTGAAGTATTTTAAAGTAAGTCTCAAAATGTCGTGCATTTTCATCCCTCTGTACTTCAGTGTGCATCTTTTGCAAAGTGGATACAACTACAATGCCATTAGTAGTAAAAAAAAATTAATAATCAAATTATTCCTCGATATTATCTAATACCTAGTTCATAATCATATTCCCATGGTTATCTCAAAAGCATTTTTTATAGTTGTTTTCTTTGAGTCAGAATCCAAAGATTTGTTAGAACCTTATAAAAAGAGTTATCTGGATCCCATCCCATATCTAAAGAATCTCTGGAGGTATGAATCTGTTTTTGTGGGTGTGTGTATATGTCTTATTCCTTCCTGGCTGATAAGAATATACATACCTGATTCTACACTTGGAACCAATTGGTATGGATGATTCTATATTGTGTTACTAGTTTTCCACTCTAAGGGGTGAACATGAAATGACTGGACTGGAGAAGTGGTACCATATCATAATCAAGCCAAGTGCAAGGCTATAACTTGAGACTTCTAAGACAAACCATATAGAAAGCAAGTGCATAGTAGCAGGAGATCTCAGTTAAAATGGAAATCTGAAGTTGAATTTATGTTAGCTAGTGCTTTTTGTTTATACCCTCCTCTACTTTGCCGCCTTCTCATTCTGGTTTTTCAAGAGTTCTGCAACAAGGCAGTAGCAGCAAATGCTGGGGGGATGGAGGCATATCCAGTAAGTCATTCTTCCCTCTTAATTGAATAAATCCTTCCCAGGGGTTAATGTCTGATTTTGGTCTTAATATTTTCAAAGAAATGTGGGAAAAAAATTAGAATCACAAGAAGCACATTTTTAGCAGGCCTTATATAGTACTAATGAAGTGCTGATTGATGAGCTAAGATCTAGTCCAAATGAGAACATCTTAAAGCATTTAAAGGGTTATTAGAAGGAAAGTGCTAATCCAGATTCCTCCCTCTTCTGTTTGACAGTGGGCTCGAGAGTATATGAGATACTTGCTAGTCATGCCATATCAGCCAGAGATAAGATTGGCCTTAAATGTCAGGCCAGCTCTACTTTGACAACAAAAATTATTTTCATTACTGAAATACACTCGATTATGTGAAGCACTCTCTTATGCTTTGTGACAATATATACCATATGATAAATTAAGTGTATACTGATGAGAGCGGGTATCCGAGGTACACTAAGTGAAACATACCAGGGTACACAGCAATGTGCATGGTATGTTTCTATTTATGTTTTTTAATAGCATATATAGCCATTGGTATGTGGAAAGTTTTTTAAAGGAAGCATAAGAAATTGTCAGTGATGTTTGCATTTGGTGATTGGCCTGGGCTATAAAGTGGTATAAAGACATAAAAATGGATGTCAATGCTTTCATTGTATGTCCTAATCTAACATTTATTGCTCTAATTTTATCCCAATGGATTATATCACCAACTGTTCTTCCTTCAATATTTCAGATTTCCATTAACGCTGAACAAGTCAGAATAGAACTGGAGCCACCAGATAAAGCTAAATCCTTGGGCACAGTTCAGCAAAAAAGAAGGCAAAAAATGCAGCAGAAGTAAGAGCTACAGATGTGTTGAGTACATGCTGTTGTTCCCCTGGCTTTGAATGTTAGGAAGCCATTGGGACTTTTTGACACCCATCAATTTGCCATAATCAGGCACAATGGTTTTTACTTAGCACGTGATAGCGTTCGCTTTTCCAACTTTTTGTCTTCTCTGTTTTCCAGAAAATCACAAGATCTAGAATCTGTTCAGGAAGTTGGAGGTTCCTACTGGCAAAGAGTAACTCTCATCCTGGAATTACTGCAGCACAAAAAGAAGCTCAAAAGTCCTCAGATATTGGTGCCAACTCTTTTTAACTTGCTCTCAAGGTAATTGATCTGTGAGAGAGCAGGACTCTTAATTCTTGCCCATCTTACCTAACCTTCTCTTTTCAACATACTCTTTTGTTTAAGTAGTCTGTAAAATAAAGCAAGAACTATAGGTGAAATTGAAAGATGGGTTTTAGGTATCCATTGCCAGCGCCCCAAACTCACCTTAGTGCCCTGTGTCATATAGTAAATGACCACTCGCTTTACAGCCTATTTTCCTTCTGAACTTTTCAGTAACATGCCTGGGGCATCCTTAATTGTATTTCAAGATATAGTGTTGAATTTGTGTGTGTGTGTGTGTGTGTGTGTGTGTATAGTGTTTGCTATCTATATATATTTTTACATATAGATGTATATAGATAGATAGATACATTTCTTTGGTGTAAATTGTTAGACAGCTATAGAGTATGAATTGTGGAATGTGCTTTCATGTGAAAGGCAAAGTAATTCAGGAGGTATCCTGTAATATTCCAAATAGATTAATGAAAAGTGCAGTAAAGAAGAAAGGGAATTTGACATAGCACCTGTCTATATGAGAGGAAATTAGAGTTGGAAATCTTACATCTTATTTATAGATTTCATGTTTAATGATAGTACTTTAGTTATTGAATATGAGTTCTGGACGGTGGTCATTAATGCAACAGTGAATTTACAACTTTCACATTTCCCATCGTTTCTCCTTTGGGTGTCCTGAAGGTGTTTAGAACCCTTGCCGCAAGAGCAGGGAAATATGGAGTACACCAAACAATTAATTCTTAGTTGTCTGCTCAGCATCTGCCAAAAACTCTCTCCAGATGGTGGCAAAATACCCAAAGGTATGTACTTTTTGGAAGGAAAGGATAGAAAATTGTCTACTTTGAGTGTGAATGTACCTGCCACTTAGGGTTTTTGTCTTTCTCAACACTGTAGATATTTTAGATGAGGAGAAGTTCAATGTGGAGTTGATCGTTCAATGCATCCGCCTTTCGGAGATGCCTCAGACCCATCACCATGCCCTTTTACTTTTGGGTACTGTTGCTGGAATATTTCCGGTAAGTGTTAGTGATTTAAGATTTCAGCAGATATTTCAGATATTTTCCTTCCACAGAAATGCATCGGCACCTACTGATTTAAATTAATTAGGCTTTGGAGTCTTCCAGCACTGGTGAGACTCTCAGCCCTGACTCTTCATAGCTGGGACAGTATGAGCCAGTTGGTCTTGCTAAGCTTTGGCTTCCCTTTTTATCAAGTGGGAATAATAACCTACTTCACTGGATTGTTGGGGGAATTCAGTTGGATAATTTGTGATTAGTACTTAGCACAGTACCTGGCACACTAAATGTCTAATAAAACAGTGGGTATTAGTGTTATTTGGGTAAAGTTAATAACTCATTTATCCTCAAGTAATCCTCAAAATAACCTTTAACTAGCGACTTGAGAAAATTAATTTGATCATGAACGGTGTCATTTAAAGAAGTCATGTCCCTTTTATGAAAAACATCATTTAAAAAATTTGTAAAGAGGTTGAAACTATTTTCATATTGGGGATTTAGGTCAGAGGTTCTTAACCTGGGGTTCTCCATGAGCTTTAGGGGGTCTTAATCTACTGAAATTATATGCAAGGTTTTATGTATATGGGATTTTTTTTTTTCTTGTAAGAGAATCTGTGCTTCTCAAAGGGGTTGATAAACCAGAAACAGGTAAGAATCATTAATATTTTTCTGTTTTTATTGAAATGTAGTTCAGATGCCATAAGATTCACCCATTTAAAGTATGCAATTAAGTGGTTTTAGTATATTCACAAGGTTTGTGTAATCACCACCACAGTCTACTTAAAGAGCATTTTCATCACGTCAGAAAAGAAACTCCACACCCATTAACAGTCACTCTTCCTCCCGCTGCTCCCTACCACCACCACCCTTCTGGCCACCACTAAGGTATTTTCTGTCTCTATCAGTCTGCCTATGCTGGGCATGTCATATAAATTAAGTCGTACAATATGTGGCCCTCTGTGTCTGACTTCTTTTGCTTAGCATTCTGTTTTTGAGGTTCATTCATGTTGAAGCTTGAATCAGTATTCCTTTTATGACTGAATAATATTGTTGTATGTGTATGCCACATTTTGTTTATCTGTTCATCAGTTGATGGACATTTGGGTTGTTTCTACTTTGGGGCTATTATAAATTATGTTGCTGTGAATATTCTAGACAAGGTTTGTGTGGCCATGTTTTCGTTTCTCCTGGGTATGTATACCTAGGAGTGGAATTGCTGGGTCATGTGGAACTTTATGTTTAACTTTGGCGTAACTTGTAAGACTGTTTGCCATAGTTCCACACCATTTTTCTCCCACCAGCAGGCTGTAAAGATCCCAGTTTCTTCACATTCTTGCCAGGACTTGTTACTGTCTTTTTTACCACCATCCTAGTGGGTGTGAAGTAGTATTTATGCTTATATGCTTTTCATATGAATTTATGCTTATATGCTGTTCAAATGAATTTTTTTTTTTGGAGAAATGCCTTTTCAAATCCTTTGCCTATTTTTTAATCAAGTTATTTCTCTTTTTATTGGTGAGTTGTAATCAATCATTGATATTTGATGTGTTTGAAATAGAGAATGTTAGCCTGAGGCAGACATATCATTTGTGGCCAGGAGTTCAAGACCAGCCTGAGTAACATAGTGAAAACCCCATCCTTACAAAAAAAGAAAAAGAACAAAAATTAGCTGGGCATGGTGGTGTGTACCTGTAGTCCTAGCAACTCAGAAGGCTTAGGATGGGAGGAGGATTGCTTGAGCTTAGGAGCTTAAGGTTACAGTGAACTGTGATCACGTAACTGCACCCTAGCTTGAATGACAGAGTACGACCCTATCTCTTATACAAATTAATAAATATAGAAAATGTTGATAGTTACATTTTCTTTCAGGATAAAGTTCTACACAATATCATGTCTATTTTTACATTTATGGGAGCCAATGTCATGCGCCTAGATGATACTTACAGTTTTCAAGTTATTAACAAGACAGTGAAAATGGTTATTCCCGCACTTATTCAGGTAAGCTGTCTTTTTGCCATCTTGGGGGTTTCTTTTTTCAATTTAAAATTTTGCATATGAATAACATTAAAAGCCTTTTTTTTTTTTTTTTAATTTTCTCAGCAATTGTACTATATAAAGAAAGGCCTTTCTGAAATACTCAAGTACATTGCCCTTCGGTTTTAGGATGTTGACGCTAAGAAGCAGTCTTGGCAAAGTCTTTTCCAATAATATAAACAAACATGTTATAGCCGGTTCTGCTGTGCTGTGAGTGTGTGACTATAAGTGTCTTAACATCATTCTGATGGGGTGAATTTACGTCCACTGTCTATTTCGGGCATTGCATCAGTTTGATAATACCTTCTTATATGTTGACGAGGATGGGAACTTTTAGAGCTACAGTGACAAATTTGCTAACGTGCAGTTTAGCAAATGTTTACCAAGCATTCTCTAAAAGCTAAACTCAGAGAGAGAGGCGAGATGTTCTCTCTCCCAGTAAGAAATGAATAATTCAAGAGATAAAAGTAGCCTCAAGAGTGAAAGAGCTTGGTCATCTACTCGAGTTTTCTATTTACCCTCACATGTTAATTAATGTCTTTTCTCATGCCATTGGCCATCCCAGGGATGACCATATTCAGCACCTTTTTTTAACCTTAGTATTAGATTTGTGTTCTCAGTGTCCACCAAGTGGGCAAGCAGAGGATAGATACATAAATAGAAAAAGAACAGTATGCATTCATATGATCGGTGCCAATTGAATAAGTAAATGCTGAAAAGGTCGGAATGGGAAGGTCCATATGGGCCAGGATGACCACAAAGTTTCATAAGAAATAGAATTTGAACTGGTGTGAAAGAAAGATAGGATTTGTTCAGTGATGGGAGAGCCAACGGTATGAGAAAAGGCATGATCTAGGAATGTGCACATTGTGTTTGAAGAATGTAATGTAGATCGATTCATGGAGAGCAGAGGGTTGAGACAGGTAGACATGGGTTTATCCATTCATTCCAGTGTTTTTTGTCATTCCTTCTGTCATTTATTCAACAACTGTATTTTGATCACCAATACCCCAGAGTAAAATGGTTCAAACTTTATTGTGAAAACAGCAGGAAGTTGTTGGCTTTTTCTGTGCTCTGGTTACCTTCATTCTTCTTGAGGCACAACCCAAATCCTGCGTGATTTGTGCAGCTTTCCCAGGCAGCCTAAACAGACTTGCTGTCAGTGTCACATATTTGGCATCTGCTGTTACTGCCTCCAGTTACCTTTTCACATATGTATCCTGTTTCTTTTTTATGTTTGTTTTTCGAGACGGAGTTTTGCTCTTGTTTCCCAGGCTAGAGTGCGATGGCACGATCTCGGCTCACTACAACCTCAGCTTCCTCCTTTCAGCGATTTTCCTGCCTCATCCTCCTGAGTAGCTGGGACTACAGGCATGCACTACCACACCCATCAAATTTTGTATTTTTAGTAGAGACAGGGTTTCACCATGTTGGCCAGGCTGGTCTTGAACTCCTCACCTCAGGTGATCTGCCCACCTCGGCCTCACAAAGTGCTGGGATTACAGGCGTGAGCCACCATACCTGGCCATGTATCCTGTTTCATACAGAAAATAAATCTCCTTTGGACAGGGCTCACATTGTACACTTTGTATTCCCCTCGGGGCTAAATAGTGACCTGGACATGATAGGTACTTACTGAATATTTATTGTTAGGCCTTTGATGATTAAAACTCTTCTGGCTGAGTGTGGTGGCATGCACCTGTAACACCAGCACTTTGGGAGGTTGAGGTGGGATTATTTGAGGCCAGGAGTTTGAGACCAGCCTGGTCAACATAGCAAAAGCCCATCTCTACAAAATTTTTAAAAAGTAGTGGGAGATGCTAGGATGTCACAGCTTTTTGGGAGCCTGAGGCAGGAGGATCGCTTTGAACTCAGGAGATCCAGGCTGCAGTAAGATATGATCACGCCACCGCACCTGAGACTGGGCCGCAGAGAAAGACCCTGTTTATTTATACATATAAATATAAATTCATTTATTCTTCCAGTAACTTCTTGGGGCACATCAAAGCCTTATCTTATCCACCTAAAGCTTGTTTTGTGGAGAATTACTTGCACCTACTCATTGTCTCTGCTTGCTGTTTCGCAGTCTGATAGTGGAGATTCTATAGAAGTTACAAGAAACGTTGAAGAGATTGTGGTAAAAATCATTAATGTATTTGTGGATGCGTTGCCACATGTCCCGGAGCACAGGCGCCTGCCCATCCTCGTTCAACTTGTTGATACGCTGGGTGCAGAAAAATTCCTCTGGGTTCTCCTCATCTTGCTTTTTGAACAGTATGTCACAAAAACAGTGCTGGCAGCTGCCTGTGGAGAAAAGGTCAGAACCTAGGGTGGGAAGATAAGGAAAATGGTGATTTCTCACAAAGATTTTATGATACTGTCCAGTTTAAACATGGGACTGATGATGCTTAATGTGTGTTATTTAGAACCTTTTTGCTCAGAACCTTTTTCAGAAAGGCTTTTGGCATTTTAAAAAATTGCATTCAGAGCCCATAGCACTCTGAATATCCTCAGTTGTAGCAAAATGTCTTCTGAGGCCAAGTTAACTTTTCTGAGAAACAGAACTGGTGCCATACACGTGGTTCTGTTTTAAGCCCAGCAGAGTATGGCTAAAGAGAATGAAACAGTGTCTCTTGAAAGTGATTTTGAAGGCAGTGTGGGGGAAATGGAAGAGCGCCCCTGTCCCTGCAGTCAGTAAGACACAGACACGGGTGATTGTTTAGAAAAGCCCTGTTTGGATAAGTCAAGGAACGTTTTCAAATGACTTCTTAGATATGGGATCTGGGAGTAGATTTTGACCTACTCTAAATAAAGTAGTATACTCTGTTCTGCTAGAAATAAAAATGCATGTTGTCCTGAAATTATGCCTTTGCAATTCCGTAAGTACAGATTTGTTACATTTTTCTTTCTGCACAGGATGCTATTTTAGAAGCAGACACTGAATTTTGGTTTTCAGTCTGTTGTGAATTTAGTGTCCAGCATCAGATACAAAGCTTGATGAAAATTCTCCAGTACTTACTAAAGCTGCCAGAGGAAAAAGAAGGTAAGTGTAGATCGAGGGTCACTGACCGTTCAGTCTGAAAGCTAAAGCGAAGCAGAAGAGAACTCACGTTATACTTAGTACATTTTCAGAAGGATTTTTAAAGTAAGTCAGTCATTTTAATTTGATGGTGTACTTTCTTGAATCCTTATGGAAAATAGTCAGTAGGAATTCCACTTGCCATTCCTCACACATTGTCTTTTATACCTCTTATACCTCTGTGCCCTGCGCTGATGTCTTAGCTTTGGAATGTGACCAATATCCAGGATGAGTTAGGTTCAAATGACTACTGTAAATGATCAGGACTTCGTTAGCCGTCCCTCAGCTTCTCTTTAAAATATCTGGAGATATTCACATGAAAAGAAAAAATAGGTACCAAAGGAGTGGTAGTGAAATACTGAAATTGTACCATACAGCAGAGCCTTGAAGAAAATCTCACTAATCGCAGCACCACTGAGTCTAGCTTAGAAAGGTTGATGAAACCAGGTGTGATGGTGTTGGCCTGTGGTCTCAGCTACTCAGAAGAGTGAGATGGAAGGATCACTTGAGTCCAGGAGTTCAAGACCAGCCTGAGCAACATAGTAAGACCCCATCCCTAAAAAAAAAAATTTTTTTTTTTTTTTTTTTTTCATTAAGAAAGGGTTGACGTGTTGAAAGTTCTTAGTTCTCTACCCTTCGAAGCAGAACAACAAGGCACGTTAGAAAGAAGGTACTAAGAGCGTCGCAGAGATAATTTTCTGCATGGCCAGCCATTAGCCCTGTCATCCCTTTTTGGCCAGGCAGTAACTTGTCCCATCCTGTAGTCAGCTCAGGTTTGGCAGGGACAGACTAGAGAGGTCCCTGGAGAGCTGTATGTGGTGATGTGGGTAAGGAAGTGTCTTCGCAGTAAGTCATTCTCTAGGATAGTGGTTTTTAAGGGGACCACCACGGGCGCCACTCCAGACACTGCACTGCCAACCCTGTTTACATTAGATGCATTGAATAAAAAAATTTACATCTGCAGTCGGAAGTTCAGAGACTCCTTCTGTTGATTGTCCTGTTTCCCTGTTTTCTTTTGTTTTTTGCCTTAAACACCCACTTCTCAGGGCTGTTGGGTACTTTCTTGGCAAATAAATACACTCACATTTTTCACTAATTTAGAAAAGGAGAAACTGGAGGTAATAGAATGACAAATTTCTCTGTGAAAATGTTATGCCGTTAACCATCCTGTATTTCAAAGGTCATATCTATTAATGTATCTGTACCAAGGATTCAGGTGAAAATGAGTGAGGTCACTTACTTTGTTGCTGTTTCAGAAACCATTCCCAAAGCAGTGTCTAATAAGAGTGAATCACAAGAAGAAACGCTACAGATTTTTAACGTGGAGACGCACACCAGCAAGCAGCTGCGGCATTTTAAGTTTTTGTCAGTGTCCTTCATGTCTCAGCTCCTGTCGTCCGATAATTTTCTGAAAAAGGTAATGTGTTCTTCAAATGTTTATAGTAAAGTGATTTTGCTGTTTCTAAGGGAACTATGTTTTAAACTAGTGAAAGTAGTTTGGTAAGTGGCTCATGAAAATGTGAGGCATGCCTTTAAAGATAACAGGGGAAGAAAGTACATTTCACCATGGAAAACTGTCATGATCCACTGAGATTGAACATAATGTAAACTCTATGACTCTGTGGTTTAATTCTCAAGTGTTGTGTACCCACCAGAAGTGTATGAACATGTACACCAAAAAAGTCTTCAAGAATGTTTATAATATTAATAACATTCTTCATGGTAGCCCAAAACTGGTAACAACCCAAGTGTCTACCAGGAGAGTAAATTGCCTACATTTTATTTTGTTTTCTGAGACAGGTCTCACTGTGTGTACCAGGCTAAAGTGCAATGGAGTGATCCTGGCTCACTGCAACCTGGAACTCTTGGGCTCAAACAGTCCTCTTGCCTCAGTTTCCCAAGTAGTGGGACTACAGGCGTGTGCCACCTACGTCTGGCTAATTTTAAAACTTTAATTTTTAGAGATGGGGTCTCGCTATATTGCCCAGGCTGATGTCAAACTGCTGGCCTCAAGCGATCCTCCCACCTCGAGCTCCCAAAATACTGGGATAACAGGCATGAGCCACCATGCCCAGCCTTTCTTACCTGGATATAGTGAGTTCTGCATGCATGATTTGTGTACGTTTCTGTTTGTGTATTAAACTTGTTTGAACGATGAGAGAAAAGGAATAAAGGAATATCATGACCAGGAATACAAAATGGTTTGACGTTAGAGTACTATAAAGTACATTAAGTACCATAATGCATTAACAGATGAAGAGGGGAAACCACATGACCGTTGTATTTTTTACAGAGAAATAATGCAGCAGATTCAATACTCATTCACACTTTAAGAAAAAATATCCTCTCAGCAGTACAGGATAGATGGGAATTACTTGGCCTCATAAAGGTGACAATCAGAAGCTTGTGATTTATATCATGCCTGATGACGAAATATTAATGGTGTGCCCGCTGAAGTCAGGGAAAGAATGCCCTCTGTCATTGTTTCTATTCAGGAAAAGAGATGAAGTGTAAGAATCCGGAAACGAGAATCAGCGATTAGAACTAATAATTGAGTTCAGTGAGCTTGCTTGAGAGAGAGCAGCATAGACACTGTCTAGAGATCAGTGTAGGTTGTGATCTGTATCAAGCAAGCTGGCTGAACTCATTAGTCTCACACACTGTTACATAATGTTATTATTCCTCAAATTAGAAAACAGTCAAAAAAAGATTTCCTGTATAATAAAAACATAAACTTAAAAATAAAAAAAAAGACTTATAAAGCACCGACAATAAACCTGACAAAAATATGTGCACGAATATTATGGGGGAATGTCCAAGATATTAAGGGACACGGATGAAAACTTGGAAGAAATGGAGAGACCCCGTGCTCACGCATCGGAAGCCTGGCTCTTTAAAGATGCCAGATCTGCCCAGATTAGTCTAGAAACTTAATGTACTTTTTCAATTATATCATTTTAAGAAATCATATTGATACATCGATACCAAACTGTAAGGGGCAAAGGACAGTGTTGCAGGGTTAGTCAGAGGGATCATGCCACTGAACAGTAAGCCCGGAAGCACACCCAGGTGCAGGTAAGAAGTGCAGCAGATACTTTTACAAAGCAATGGGGGAAGAGAACGGTCCAAGTACTGGCCCTGCCATGATTTGCTTTCCACTTGGGGAAAAGTCTGATGTCACGCCTTATACAAAAGACAACAGTAGGCAGAGTAAAGCTTTACTGGAAAAAACAACAGTTCAAATGTATAGAAGTAAATCAAGGAGAACATTATTGTGACCAGAGGATAGAAAAGAATTTCTTTAAAATTTGATTGAATAGAAAGGCACCGTAAACAAGGTGAAAAGAAAGTCACAGCCTAAGAGAAGATTATTGCTCTTTATAAATTAAAAAGCATCAATTTCCATTAGAACAACTGACAAAGAATATTAATTCACTGAAGAGGAATCACGAATGGCCAATTAAAATATACACATCATTTAGCCTCTCCAGTAAACAGGAAATGTGATTAAGTGTGATACCCATCAAATTGGCAAAACTGTTTTTAAAAAGGTTGTTAATAGCAGGGAGTGGGTACGTAGTGGCAGACAATTCAGGTTGTTCCAACCACTTTAGAAAGCAGTTGGCAGGATCCCATGAGGTTGAAGGCTCTAGTCATTCCTGTGATCTAGTCGTTCCCTTTCTTAGGCATATATGCTATCAAAACTTGCCAAGATGCTCAAAGGAAATAAAGATGTTCTTCTGTAGCATTATTAGTAAATGGGAGGAGAATGGACATAAACTAAACATCTAGCAACAGAGGCAAATGGATGGATGAGTTGTATTTAGAGAGGAAGATCATATGCAGTTAAAATGAATGCACTAGAACGTTGTCACCATGCATAGATCTCAAATACATATTTTTAGGAAAACACGTTTTTCCATGATATGTACTGTTTGAAAAGGTAGCAGATTTGGAATGATGGTTGTCTTTGTGGGGCTTGGGGTAGTGGGAGAATAGGACCAAGGAGCAGTACTTGGGGGACTACAGCTGAATCTGTAATGTTTAACTTCTTAACAAATGATATATGAGCTCAGCAGATCAGCATGTCGTAGAGTTAGGTAGTGGGTCATTGAGTGTTGATTGCTGTATTTTTCTGAACCTTTGTAGTAGTTTTCAGATAACTGCCAGTAGAATGTAATTAAAACAAATTATTATAATGGGGATGATATGAACCTGCTTAAATTGCAATAATGTCAGAAGACGGTGCTGTGGGAAGTCTGAGTGAATGACGTGTAGTTTCACTGAGCTGACTGAAATGACTTTTATTATTGACCTTCATACTGTTCTAATGACATCTTCTTTAAAAATTAGGTGGTTGAGAGTGGTGGTCCTGAGATTTTAAAAGGCCTTGAAGAGAGGTGTGTTTACTTTTCTTTTTTTACTTTTTATTTGGAAAGGACTCAAACTTACAGAAAAACTGGAAAAATAGTACAGAAAACTCATGTAGTCTACAGCCAGGTTCACCGCTTGGTAATACTTTTCTGCCACATTTGCTTCAGCATTCTCCCTACGTAGGGTTTTTTCTCTGAGCCATTTGAAAGTAAGTCATATACATTATGTCTCTAAGAATAAGAGAGGTTCTTATAAAACCACATTACATTGATCAAATTCAGATAATTTAACATTGATACAACACAGTGATCGAATCTACAGTTTATATCCCAGTCTCCCTAGCGATCCCAGGGTGTCCTTTACACCACGTTTGTTTCTGCCTCACGACCCATTTCAAGTTTGCGTATTGTATTTAGTTGCCATATCTTTTTAGGATCTTTTAATCTGGCCCTGATTTCTATGGGCTCATGAATTCTTTCTTCTATGGATTATAATCCATATGCTGCCATTATATATTTGGGTGCAGGAATTTTCCTTTCACTCCCATGTCCTCAGGGAGTGCCTCCTGGCCTTGCTGTGTACCCCCTGGATGCTTGGCATTCCCAGGGCCACCATCCTGCCCCATCCACCGCAAAGTGCCTGCCCTGTAGCCAGGATTGTAAGCTGCTGAGCTCCAGTCCTGTGGGCCAACTTTCAGAGTTACGTGTAGGACTTTCCTTTTCCAGAGCTGATTTTGTCTGAGCCCTCTTCTCCCCTCCTCTGCTGTGCAGTGGCAGCCTATGTCCCCACTCTCCCCTCTAGCTCCCCACTCAGGCTGGCAGCAGTAGGGCGAGCTCCAGTGGTGGTTGTGTTGGAATTTTGTGTGTGTTTTTCTAATTACAGGTTATTTGAAGTTTGTAGTCTTTTTATGTCTCCTAGCAATGTGGAAGATGTGGGTTATATGTTCATTTGTATTAATATTTCTCTTTAAATGGTGTATTGTGTGTGTGCCTGTGTGTTGTGTGCTTGCATGTGTGTGTGCACACATGCGCACACACACACATCTGCCATTAACCTAGGGCCATAACTCCCTGAACACCCCACTTGGACAGCACAGTCAGGCCCACTGAGCATGAGATAGATATGCGTGAGCTCTTGAAACGCCTTCAGCATCTGTTGCCTATTCACAGAGTCTGAGCAAGGACGACACTTTTGCACAGAAGTGCCTGTTTACTTCTAGGTGATCTCTCTCTATGACAGTAATCCCTCGCTTCCTTTCTTTCCAAGTAGTTTTTGAAATAATTTAGTACAGAATTATTTAATTTCTCCTTAAAACATTTAGCATGAGATAGACATGAGTGAGTTCTTTGAGTGCCTTCAGCCACTGTTTGCTGAGCGACGCTCCGTGTTCCAGGTTGCTGGAGACCGTTCTCGGCTATATCAACGCTGTCGCACAGTCCGTGGAAAAGAACGCAGACAAACTCACCGCGAAGTTCTGGCGCGCACTCCTTAGTAAAGCTTACGACCTCTTAGACAAGGTGGGTTTTCATTTCTCCCCAGAATTACTGTTTCGTTGCTGTTTATATTATTGTAAAATTATTTAAAGCTTTTAAAAATAAACTTAGCCGTTCCATTTATGAATATAATGAAGCTCAGATTTTTCTTAGAAAATAATATCTTGATGACTAGAAATAAATTTGTCTGGAAAAATTCTTTCCCTACCAGTTATGAGAACATGTTCGTCATATATTTTAATAACTCAGCCATGTAATATATAATGTACTACTTTATTCAAGTGCAATAAAATTAAATATTAAGTATGTTACCTGCATATCACTGGCCTTGAAATTAGGATTGCTGTTCAAATCTAGCTAAATGATTTAGCTTCATGGCGTTGACATTTCCCCCTAATGTCGAGTTTTTGTTTTGTTTGAAAGTGTGTGGTTAGCACTGCCTACCTGAAAGGTTATTCTAAGAATTAATAAGAAAATGTGTGGGAAGGTGCCTTGTACCTGGTGGTGTGCAATGGACGTCAGTCTGTCTTAATTGAAGTTCATCTTTTTCTTTTCATGTTTTTTTTCTTTTCATGTTAAATATAAAACTTCTCTTTAGGTCAATGCCCTGCTGCCCACAGAGACATTCATTCCTGTCATCAGAGGGCTGGTGGGCAATCCCCTGCCATCTGTTCGCCGGAAAGCACTGGACCTTTTGAATAACAAGCTACAGCAGAATATATCCTGGAAGAAGACAGTAGTGAGTGAAGACCCGGGACATACCTATTTTCTAGACTTCACTTTATCAAAGAGCTGCATTTGACTCCCTTCAATTTCTCCAGTGTTACAGTTTAAAATTGAAGTATATTATTGTTATCTGAATGTAATACCATGACATGTTTTACAATGTGATGTTAATTCTAACGGGAGTTATTTGTGTTATAAGAGTGCTTCAAATGGAATTTCAGCCTAGTGGAATTCTTACTTACTATGGAGCTTACGTGGCCTTAGCCTTAGCATAATTCTAAGTCCCTTTTACTCCAAATCAGTAGGTTCTTTGTGTAAGTGAAAAGCTAGTTAGAACATGCATTTTGCTTAGCGTGACTATGGCTTAGGACCCCCTAGTCTGATTTCCATTTAGACAATCTCAAGCCATGACAATGGGAAAATAGACAAGCATTTTTTGCAGCTTTAATGATTGGGGGATTGTGGCTGTCCCCTTCAGGTTAACCGTTTCCTGAAACTGGTTCCAGACCTTTTGGCCATTGTACAGCGTAAGAAAAAGGAAGGGGAAGAAGAACACGCCATCAACAGACAGACGGCGTTGTATGCCTTAAAGCTTTTATGCAAGAATTTTGGTGCAGAAAATCCAGATCCCTTTGTCCCAGTGCTGAGCACTGCCGTGACACTTATTGCTCCAGAGAGAAAGGAGGAGAAGAATGTCTTGGGAAGTGCACTGCTATGCATAGCAGAGGTGGCCTCCACCCTGGAAGCACTGGCCATCCCTCAGCTTCCCAGGTATGTGGCTGGAGACTTGGAACAGGAGCTGTTACTGTCTGGAACACATTGAAAAATAACACCTTGGGGTCTTTTTTCTTTTTCCTCTGAGCAGAAGTTGCATAAAATTGGATTTGTTAAAGAATTGATCCTGCAGGGTGTGGTGGCTTACGGCTGTGATCCCAGCACTTTGGGAGGCCGGGGCAGGGGGATTGTTTGAGATCAGGAGTTCGAGGCTGCAGTGAGCTATGATTGCACCACTGCACTGTAGCCTGGGCAACAGAGCGAGACCCTGTCTCTTAAAAAAAATAATATTTGAATGGAAAGGCACAGCCTTCCTTTTTATCTTCAGATGCACTGCTTTGTGATGTTAATTGTCCCCCATTCTTCCTTTTGTCTAGTACAGTCAAAAAGCAGTGCGTGAAGGTCCTTGGTAGAGGGGCCCATCCAGGTGGACAAGGCCAAAGCTGCTGTCTGCTGCCAAATACGGAAGTTCGAAGCTCCTGGCTGTGGTTGTTCCTTCCCACGCAGCCAGTAGGTTCCTTAACCTGTTAGAGCTTTGCTGCTTGTAAAAGAGAGAGAGTGTCTACCTCAAAGGATTTCTGTAGGGCAGCGCTTGCAAGGAGTTTTGTATAGTGCCTGACACATAGTAAGTGTTCAATTAATGAAAGACATTATTTTTTAAATTACTGTTGTGTCCGCACTGTTGGCACCGGGAGATTTCTTGTGCTTAGTCACATGAAATGTGTAGACGGCACTTTTTAGGCTATGAGGCATATAGTGATGTAATAAACATAGTTTCTTGGTTTTTTTTTCCTAATGCCCTTCATTCCCTAGTCTCCATTTCTGCTTGAAGTTCCTCTGGTTTAGCTCTTACTCTGTTTCTAGCCTGATGCCATCGTTGCTGACAACAATGAAGAACACCAGTGACCTGGTCTCCAGCGAGGTCTATCTGCTCAGTGCCTTGGCTGCCCTGCAGAAGGTGGTAGAGACTCTCCCGCACTTCATCAGCCCCTACCTGGAAGGTATTCTCTCCCAGGTGAGCCATGGTGACCATGACATGCTACGTGGGGTGACTGGGGAAAGTCAAAGGTAACGAATTCAGTGGTTTTGTTTTTTAAGTATTAGCTTGTGTTCGCCCGAAAGGAGTCTTATTTCTGAAAAAATGTGCTCGCTTTTATTAAATGTGTACTTTTCCTCTTCCGTCATCCTTGCCACTTAATCTTGAAATCAATATGGGGTCACTTTTTAGTGAGGTGCTTCACTTCTTTAATTGTGCAGAATGTATTCTGGATTTTTTTTTATTCTGTGAGACTTTTGGAGTTGGGCTGGTAGAGCTGCCTTTTATTACTTGTGGAAATTAGTGTGCCCTGTTTCTAACGTGAGAGGTTTAATCCTAAGGCATCTTGCAAGGCAGAATTTTTGTATTTCTGGTCGGCAATTTCCTGTCAACACGCTAGGTGCCAGTGGTGTTTCTGATTGAAAATGTTCAAGAATGTTGCGCCCTGGCTGTTTCATTGTGTTGATCATTTGCCATTTAAAAGATTAGGAGCCTTCGTTACAATGGGCAGATGATTAAACTGGTTCACATATGCCACAGCCAGGGCTTCAAAGCAGCCTTCTCACAGAAAGAAGCCTGTGCTCCGAGGAGCTTTCTCGGTTTTTTAGCAAGGAAGAGCTTGACTCTTGCTGTGTTCCCTTGCATTCCTCCCCTCCAAGAAAATCATCTCTCTGGGTGCTTCTGCATCTGCCATTGGTCTTCGTCCCTGATTGCAAGTTGGGCAAGAGGTATCTGCCCAGTTTTATCCACTGATATTTAGGCTTGACTTCAGAAGGGATTCTGTGTGTAGTTAAAAGCTGCTAAGCATTTCCCAAACACTAGCACATCATCATGAAGCCTTTCTGTAAGTGTGTGTTTGTCAGTGAGGATCTGCAGTGGCCCTGATCACTGTTTTTTTAATATTCCTGCAGGTGATTCATTTGGAGAAAATCACTAGCAAAATGGGTTCCGCCTCACAGGCCAATATCCGCCTCACATCTCTTAAAAAGACACTGGCTACCACACTTGCACCCCGAGTCCTGTTGCCCGCCATCAAAAAAACTTACAAGCAGATTGAGAAGAGCTGGAAGGTTAGATTCATACTGAGTATTAAGACTTTGGAGAAGGGAGAGGTGGTACTGAAATGTGTAAACTTTCACTTAAAGAAGAATATGGTTATTTAATTTTTTAAAACACACATTGCTGAACTCTAGGAGTAATTTGAAAATGGCACATCTCTTTACTGTGTTATTGGTAGAATCACATGGGTCCATTTATGAGCATCTTGCAAGAGCATATTGGGGTGATGAAGAAGGAAGAGCTCACCTCCCATCAGTCTCAGCTAACCACATTTTTCCTGGAGGCCCTGGACTTCCGAGCACAGCACTCTGAGGTGAGCTTAGGTTCAGTCCTCCAAATCCTAAAGTTGTTATCTCCCTATTTAAGAGTCCGAGAATTATCTAGCTGCGTAACAGTTGTACTTGCCAAAATAACTTACAGTTAGATAGCAGTACTCTAATAGATGGACTCTTCTGTTTTCAGGACGATCTGGAGGAAATTGGAAAAACAGAAAATTGTATCATCGACTGTCTAGTAGCCATGGTTGTGAAACTTTCCGAGGTCACATTCAGACCCCTGTTCTTCAAGGTGAGGCTTTCTTCCTCTTGCTCTCTTTTGTGCTCAGATTTCAGTGACAAGATGTCGAAGAAACTAACATTCCTATCTTACCCTTTTAGCTGTTTGATTGGGCTAAAACTGAAGATGCCCCAAAGGACAGGCTGCTGACATTTTACAACTTGGCAGATTGCATTGCTGAAAAGCTGAAAGGGCTTTTTACTCTGTTTGCCGGCCACTTGGTGAAGCCTTTTGCTGACACCTTGAACCAGGTGAACATCTCCAAAACAGGTGGGTAGTTGCTTCAGTTCAGTTGTCACTTTTTGCTCTGTGTACCTTATACAAGATACCAGTAAGATACAACCTAGTGCTCAGAGACAAGATTTTAAAGGTTCTTACGTTCTAAGCAAGGAGGGTGAATTTTTTACTTCATTGTTGTCGGACAGTGAAGTGTTATTTTAGCATGATGAAATAATGTTGTAAGTCGACTCACTCGGGAGAAAGAATAAAGCAAATGGGCATTACTGTCAGTTACTGGGAGTGACTTTAAAACCTAAAAATCAAGATGATTCTCTACTGCTAATACATGACCCACTTGACTTTGGAAGGAATTTAACTTGCCAAACTGAGTGTTAGAATCTTAACTCTAAAAGAAGAAATCATTTTTCCAGAGGCCACCCATTTTGTGTTCTACCTTCATCCCAATTAGGATTTCTAGATTATTTAGACTCTTATGATTATAGTTATTGTAATAGTGATTTCAGTGTAGACATTGGAGATTAAATCAATTCAGTGTTTTTCATTTTGCTCTTCCCACATCTACAGATGAAGCATTTTTTGACTCTGAAAAAGACCCTGAAAAGTGCTGCTTGCTGTTGCAGTTTGTTTTGAACTGTTTATACAAAATCTTCCTTTTTGATACCCAGCATTTTATAAGTAAAGAGAGAGCAGAAGCCTTGATGATGCCTCTGGTGGATCAGGTAACCAAACAGAATCATCTTTTATTACTGAGGAAGCCATCACTGTTCGATCTTGGCAGGTTTTATATCTGCTCAAAATGACAGCTTGCTAGGCTTTTTTCTTTGTAAGGTTTTTTTATTTTTTGCTCTTTTAAATGAAATTTTTTATTTGAAAATTGTTTTTTCAAAGATACAACTTCATTGTGGAATTTGAGTTTTTTTGTTTTGTTTTTTTTTTGAGACAGGGCCTTGCTCTGTTGCCCAGGCTGGAGTACCGTGGCACGATCTCCGCTCACTGCAACCTCCACCTCCCAGTTCAAGCAGTTCTTGTGCCTCAGCCTCCCAAATAGCTGGGATTACAGCCTACCTCCACACGTAGCCATTTTTTGTATTTTTAGTAGGGATGGGGTTTTGCCGTGTCGGCCAGGCTGGTCTCGAGCTCCTGACCTCAAGTGATCCGCCCACCTCAGCCTCCCAAAGTGCTGGGATTACAGGCGTGAGCCACCGCGCCTGGTCTTGAGTAGTTGTTTTTTTGTTTTGTTTTGTTCTTTAACTGCTGAAAAGAAAGACATGGTATAAGGTGTCATGGTTAACTTATTAATTTGTTTTAACTGGGCCTCATTGCCTCAGAGCATGGCTGCCCTCTGGAGGAAAGAATCCCTCCAAGATGTTCTGCTGGAGAAAAAGGGGCGATGGTAAAGGGCATGAGATTCCGTTTGAGTTCCAGAAGGCAATAAATTGGCCCTAGAAAGTATTAGAATAATGCCTGGTTTTTGAACCTGCTAATGCCATGAAAGATAGTAAAATACTTATATGTTGGGTATTTTTTCAAACAGAAGAAAAGAAAAATGAGACCTGTTGTTCAAAGTCTTTGTCTTATTCTTCATAGCTGGAAAACAGGCTTGGAGGAGACGAGAAATTCCAGGAACGGGTGACAAAGCACCTGATCCCTTGCATCGCACAGTTTTCAGTGGCCATGGCGGATGACTCTCTTTGGAAACCACTGAACTACCAGATTCTGCTAAAGATGAGAGACTCCTCGCCTAAGGTTAGAAACTGGGTCACAAGTATGGAAACTGCACGTTTTCATTGCATAGCCTAAACAGCCTGCAGGTGGTCATGGATGTAGGCCCCTGGTAAACTGGCAGGGAAGAACATTGCTATTTGTCGTCCAGCACTAGAGGTCCAGTCTTTTGTATCAGGCAGAAGTCTGAGCCTGAGAAAATTTTGGATTTTACTTAGAGGCTATTTGTAAAGAATGGCAGTGCCCTGTTCCCACCCCAGTGGTGCTTGGATACAAGTACTAAAATACCTTCTAAATACTTCAAGTAACAATTCGAAGTAATTCCTTGTTTTAAAAGTGCCATTGAAATGTCATTGTGCTCCAGAGATAAATGCATTGAATTTGTCCACAGAATAATAATAGTCTTTTGAGTTAGAGCAGTATATTCTCTTGTTTGTAAATACGGGGCCTGTGATCTTGTTGAATTAGTGGTAGCAGCAGAAATGAAACATGGGTAGGTTGAGTGGAAGTCAAAATTCCACACCCAGGTGTCACAAATTTCAAACTCTTTTAGCAATGATTTGCCATTTCTCAAACTAATGATTATGTTAGAACCTTACTGGATATAACAGACCAAGGCAGAATTTCATTAGTAGGATTTATTAGTTCAAATTCTTTATTAGGATATGCTAACAATGAGACTATTTTGATGAACCCCCACATTGTAAACCATAGGTTTTTATACAAGTAGCAGCGTCAAATTTATTGTAATATTTTACTTTGATTGCACAAATCAAGGAAATCCTGATTGAATCTAGGTAGTTACAAATGGTTTTTGAATCATTCACTTGGTACTATCCAGACAGTCTTTAATGAAAATATCCAAAATTAGAAAGAAGACCAGTCGGGCTTTTGTTTCAAAAGCTAACAATACCCAGCTATTGCTTGCTGTCCTTATCACAGACAAGGCATGTGAGAAACACTGACTTCTTTAATGCCCAAAACTAGGATATTGTGACATAGAATGTGTTTTAATCAGTGCTGAGATGGGAGCTTACCCCAAGCGAGTGTCCTGGCCCCTCATACAACTATAGCGGTGACCAGTCAGGGGCTGTGGGTAGGGAAACCTGCCAGAGGTGGCTGGAGGTACTTCATTGCCAGCTTGGCAGGCTGGTGAGCTCCACTGAAGTAAAATTTGGTGACACGCTTGAGTTTGCCTGTGGCATTTTATTTTGTTTTATTTTATTTTATTCTAAAGGAAGAGGTTATAAAAAGACATTTCACATCAAAGATTTGCAGTGGTGGGACACAGTTTGGAAAACACTGATTTAAATAAACTGGTATCCTAAGATGAAAGGTGAATGAACATAATGAAGGGAATAAACGCATGTGAACTAACGTTTAGTTTAAAAACTTAGAGCTTATCTCAAGTCAGTACAGCTCTTAAAATAATAAATATACTAACACTGCTTTCTCATTCTTTACTCCTTTATCCCTTTCAGGTTCGATTTGCTGCTTTGATTACTGTGTTAGCACTGGCTGAAAAACTAAAGGAGAATTACATCGTCTTGCTGCCAGAGTCCATTCCCTTCTTAGCAGAGTTGATGGAAGGTAATTCCCAAACTATTAAACAATTAAGGAATAAGTCAGAAAACTTCTGTGAAAATGTGCCCAGTGATAATGCAGATTTAGATATAACGTGACTAGCAGTTGCTCCCATCCTCCTACAGGCGGCTCCACTCTCAAAAACAGGCAGGCTGGAGCTCCTGTTTTGAGTTGGGTGGAGGGAGTGAGTTGAGACGTGACCACCTCGTGATCATTTGAGTCTGTTTGCAGTGTAATCTTCACTATCTTTACTTTTGTGGTGTTTTGTGATCATGCAAGCAGATTACAATAGTGTTTTTAATTAACTTCATACATTTATATGGTTGAAGTTTTGGTCCCCAGATGGGAGGTTATTGTATGGAAATACCTAGTGGCATTAAGGGTGCAGTAGGATGTCCACTTCTAGTAACAACCAACATTCATTCACTACTCCATGATAGGTGCTTTACATGGATTATTTCACTTAAAAATCACAACATTTTGTCTCTGTTTTACAAAGGAAGAAACTAGAGGCTTAAAAGGTTTCAATGATTTGACAAAGATAACAAGCTAGTGAGTGTGACATGGGGAGCTATGACAGTTCTGGAACATAGTCTTAGGCCCAGGAAAGAACATGGGAGGGGCGGTGGAGCAAGTAGATCAGTGCTTCACTGATTCATCGCTTAGCTAGGCCAAAAAAGTGCATTCTCCTTTGTTTGTTAGCTCCTGGAGGGGGGAAGTGTGAGCTACTAAAGGGGTGGTACCCCTAGGAAGTTTGAGTTTTTGGGGTTCTTATTCAGCTTCCAGTGCAAGTCTCTGAGAATGAAATGAAGGTGGAAGGAACAGTGTAGAGGGAGGTGGTCTGCGGCGCTTCCTGCTTTGTTAATGTGCCTCATCTGTGTTTGAATGATTGCCAGAGAATGCCAGACATTAAGAATTAAACTAATGAGAAATGAGGCAGGTGAACTGACTTGATTTCAATTTTGATTTTTTTTTAGATGAATGTGAAGAAGTAGAACATCAGTGCCAAAAGACTATTCAACAGCTGGAAACTGTGCTAGGGGAGCCGCTCCAGAGCTACTTCTAAGACTGGTGTTTCATACTCTACTCAGAGTTCAGATTTATTTTTCATATTTTTATTTTTGGGTGTTGGGGTGCCCTATTACTTTTGGTGCCTTAATACACCTACTTGGACTACTTAAAATATTTTATTGTATCTTTACAAAATTCCCACCTGGGTTGTGCCACCAGGTGGCACATAAGCCTCTCCTGCCAACTGTACAGAGCTGCCCAAAGAGTAAATGACACGTGGTCTTTTTATACAGACTGCTGTTTCACATTTATTCTCTTCCTGATTGATGTTAATAATATTAGACCTGTTTACTTTTAGTACCCAAAGCTGACGGCTTATTTGCACTGTAAGCCTTAACTCTTCTGTATAGCAGTGTCTTATATACATGGTATCTGTGTTGCAGATTTCACTCAAGAGTTGCTCTCTACTTCCAGAAAATGACAGTAATTTAGCAATCAACAAATACTTTTCACTGTAAAGCCTACTTTTCATTTTGGGTAGGCGAACTTCAGCCTTAATTTCTTTGTGTGTGCCTATGGAGAAGTGGTTCTGGAATGCTTTTTAACCCAGGTGTGTGATTGTCATCTTTATCTTTTACTCTGAGGAAACGGGAGAGATGGAGGCAATATGCTGCTTCCAAAAGAGCTCACACCTGGCTGCTCACAGACAGGGCCCAGAAACACTAGGCATGAGGAAGCTCCTCCAGGATTAAGAATGGCCGCAGTTCCATTGGTGGTTAACTGAGAATTACTTGTCTAAGAAAGGAAGTATCGCTAGATTTTTTGCAATGCTTTGAAGTGCCCTAGTCTCTAGTATTGGGTCATGGTAAAGTTGGAAAGTGAAGGCTGAGATACAATTAGATCTTCCCCTTTTTTAAAGGCATCTAAGAACAATCCCGTAGAATGTTTGCATTGAGTTTAAAAGCCTTTGGAACTAACATAGAAGTTTAATGCAGAATTGTGACAAGCAAAAGGCTAACTTAGTTTAGGGAAAGAGCTTTCTAGTATAGAAGTGCATATTTCTAAGAAATGTCTCATTAAAATGCATTAATAAATACCACTTTTTAAATTTTTTTTACTCCACATAAAATAAAAATGAACTTAAGACTTACAAGGAATGATGTGAGTGGGCTATTTTTTTCCTAAATGCCTCACAGTCTCCAACAGCTCAGTCAAGCACGCTGATGTTCTTTATGAAGAAAAAGAACTCCTGGGGCATTCTGGAGCCTTCTTGCCTTCTACAGCTTTCCCTGTGGCTCCCTCCACCCCCAACCAGTGTCTTTGAGCTTGGTGAGACTCTGCATAAATAACATGAAAAGCTGGAAAAGAATTAAGGGCTAGCATTTTCTACACTGAGTACTTTTTTAAAAATAAGACTGACGATGGTATTCTTTTCAATATTTGGATAGAAATAGTATCTAACTAAAATCTGTTCTGAAAAGATTCCTAAGTCCTGGCAGAGTTCCGCCCCACAGTTTAATGTGATAAAATGATCCTCACTGACTGAGCTTTTTTCCCTCCCCACTTCCAAACCTTTGAAATTTCCTGTAACAAGATCTGACCTGTAAAGATCCCATATACATGGAACTTCTGCCAACTCGCCTCAAATAATAGAAAAATTACAGAAATGCAACAATTTAACTTGATACAGGTTTGACTTTAATCACTTAAAGCAGAAGAGTGCTTTGATCTCAGGTGCTAATGCTGGACTAATCTTTAGAAGAACGGAGGCCTGAGTGGTGATTTACATGGGAACAAAACATTTTTTTATTACCTCTGCCTGCTTTGTGGGTCTCTTAGTTGGTGTACACTTTCGATAGTGCCTGCCTTATGAATCCCTCAAGTCTAATTCTGACCTTACTTTACTACCCATGAATATCTTTCAAATTGAATGCATCTTGCCTCTTCCTTAAACTTCCTATAGGAGTCTGTGTAGACTCTGATTCACCCTAAGTTCAGATACAAAGAAATCAGCTGCCTTGGGTTTGACATCAATGGTTAATTTCAGCACCATTTATTTTTTTTGTTTTGCTTTGGGTTTTTTGCCTTAATTTCCGTGCTGTGTTCAGATGTCATATTATTTGGTAAAGCTTGCAGCTAATAGAGCTAAATGTTTATTATGCTAAACAAAACGAATCGATGTAAGTCAACATCAGTCCTCGCAGTTACGGGGTACGCTGGAGCACTGCTTATGAGTGAGCACTGGGGAAGGGGTAGTGTCTTCTATAAATTAGTGTCTTCAGGTGATTTAACAGCTGCATCACTAATCCCAGAGGGCCCCTTAGGAGTTGATGCAATGCCTGTAGAAGCAGTGCACAGCGGTAAAGCATGGAAGAGTCGAAGCTCAAGACAACAGGGAACATACTGGTTTGTTTCACCACCAATTATTAATCCCATCTCCTTGCACAGTTTTAACCAATAAATCTGTGCTCAATACATGTTAGCTACTGTATTATAGTAAGTACTCCATAAATACTTGTTGAATGTGAGTCTTAGAGTCAAAGTAGGAGAGAGGGTAGAGTGGCTTTAACTGGCTATCAATGCCACTGCCCCCAATTTCCCCATTCAGTGCAAGACACTGCCATACTTCATGGCAAGGACTGAGAACACCCAGCAGGACCTAACGGTACACAAGCTTATTTTAACAATATAAACAATAGAGTGACAGTGAGATGCGTTTTGACAAGGCCAGTGTCACAGAAGCCATTCTGTATTTCAGTTTTTGTAGCATTCTGTATTTTGTGTAGGTAGGCTACCAGCTCCTTACTTCCAGTAAGTGGATGTCTCCATTAATCTCCAGTGTGTCAATACTGCTAAGCTCTTTAAATCTGTGTTTGTACTCCAGGCTGTGTACACCATTTACTGCAACCTTGAATTCTTTAACGTCACAATAAATTATCATCTGAAAGGAAAGGAAACAAGCCATTAGTGGTTCCCCTTAGTTTAAAATGTTGTGTTTGTTGCACACTAATAGAGTGTCAGAGTAAACTATTTGATTTGCTTTATACATAGAAAAGTTCTAGCCTGCTGCTGCTGACTTCCCTTCTGTGACTCTTAAGACCCTAATCTAAAGTATCCCTGGTGGTGGTACTGTCTGCCTCATCCCACCCAGGGAAGTTACTCGGACATGTTTGGAGCCTCACATGTCCCCAGGGCTTGTGGCCCTCCTTTCCTCAGGACAGGCCCTGCTTCCTGAGCCAGGATATCCTGTCCCTTGCTCCTGGAAAGGTGGAGTGCTGCCCCTCCTCACCGATGCTGAGGACTCTCCTAAAGTGGGAAAACTTAACACTGTCACTCTAGTTCACTAAGATGCTGATTCCAGCTAGTAGACTGGAACCAAGCGACGTGGATCCTGACTCTTCTGCCTCAAACTCTAGGACCGTGAACAAACCAGACAATTAATATGAAATTTCAGCAGCTTAAGGTACTTGCTAGGGTTTTTACAGGTGCTTGGTAACCCTGATTCCATCCCAGCTCAGCACATCTTGGCCTCAGTGTGTTTCCCCAAAGTCCTCAAAGCCGGTTACCCTGAGTCAGCAGGGATGCACATTCTGGCAGAGTCAGTTCAAATTCATCACTAGTCTTTGCCCTTGACAGTCGTCTGTGCCCAAAACTCAAACAATGAAAACTCAGAAAACCTACTAGCCTTTTACATCATCTTTATACCTAAACTTCATACTTCTGGTGCACACTGCCAGTGCCAGGCTGGGTTTCCACCCACACGCAGGACGACACCGGGAGGTCCTGCAATGAGCTCTCCCTGTGCTCCTCGCCCACATGAAGGCTTCAGAAGAAAGAGGGGAAGCTCAACCTTGCTGCTAACCTGGCCCCACTCCAGAGGCCACACTGAAGCACAAAACCTGAATCTGCAAAGCAGCAAGTTGAGGTCTTCATTCTTTTGATAGGTGCAGTGGAAAGGGCTGTCAAGGAAAACGAGGAAGAGAAGGAAATTTCAGCTGAGTCCTGCACTCTGATAACAGAGCTGGCCAAAATGAAGCTTCTATGGCTACAGAGGATTGGGGAAGTATGTGTAACCTGAGATTCTATCCCCACAAGAATGGTGGGAATCCCAGTTCTAACCAGGTAGAAGGGACTTGGAAATATTTCACAAAATCTCAGGAAAACACAAAACACACAGCCTCATGCTGTAGCTCAGAAGGAAAACCAAGTTGGCAGCAGAGGGAGTCAAAGCCTGGACTACGTCAGAGCAAGTGCAGAGCCAATGAGTTACAACCAAGTGGCAAGGAAATGACATGCCTCTGGGTGAGCAGACTACTGCAAATGGAAAGAAAGCATATCATTTGCAAGACCCCCAGCCTAGAGGAAAACAGAAAACAGAATCCCTCACAACCATCTGATGCTGTCGAACAGCTGGGGAGAACATGGATTTCATCCAGAAGAGCCTACAGATGAAATGACAACAATGAATCAGATTTAAAAAAAAAAAAAAAAAACACTGTAGATACAACTAAAGTACGTTTGAAACAGCAAGAAGATTTAAAATGAAAGTAATGGCATAATGGAAAGCCCTGAGATAATCTCAGTGCAAGCATATTGGAAAAGCAAGAGATGGAAGCCCCTGGAAAGGACCTGTCAGTATAGAACATTGTCAACAGTGATCAACATGAGGATGATGACTGTTCCTGAAGTAGAAAATTAACAAACGGAAAAGACAATGGTTCAGAAGCATGCAATATCCATCTATTCATTACTTCAGCCAGCCATCCTTCTCACGCTCTCGCTACAAAAGCATATTTGGAATGTGCTTCATCTAATCCTAATGGTGTGATTTGAATTATGAAGTTGGAGATATTTTCATCTTAGTTTTTTTCAGCATTACTTGAATGTATCATTATTGTCCTTTTTTATATTAATTGGTAGATCCAAACTTAGGGCCCAGATAGGTCAAAAACAAGTTTCATCATGAGTTTCCTGTCACCAAACACAGGGCTCAGCTTCCTTCTGGAACACTCACCTCTATTTCCCTCCAGTGAACCCCAAGTCACCCTTTATGCTTTAACTCTTGCCAAGCCAACAACCTCGTGCTGCCCTTCCCACCTCTAAGGACTTGTTCACATCATGCCCTAAATCTAGAAAAGCAACCTTCAGTCCCCCACACCTTCCCAGCTTTCTGAATTCCAAACCAATATCCACAACTTCCAGAGAACCTTCAGTGCTTAGCCCACATCTGTCTACACTCCACATACCAGGGCACTGCATTAGACTGGAACTTAGGAATAAATATGAATGTCACATTGCCATCTATTCCACCTGATATTCATGCAATTAGTAATGGGTTTTGATGAGTCCTTAAGAACCCAAATGGTCCAGAGGATGTGGCAGTTTGAAATGCTGTAGAATTATAACCTAAGCCAATAACCCTAAGTGACTGTGTGAGGCAGTGGCACCTGAGCTAGTGAGTGAGGCTGGCCAACCACCCAGTATCCACATCACAAGGAGGCTATTCTCTGTTCAGCATCCCGGAATCATATTTTGGAAAAGGTATGTTACAATAGTCACCTATTTGGGGACTCAGGACTAAATGCCTTTTAGTTCCAAGGGACTGATGCATTTTTCCTTGAATACATACAAACAGGACTAACTCCTTAGGAGAAAGGACTGCCACCTGAAACCATCTACTATGATGGGAGATGATGCCCAGTGCAAGCAGTTTTAGGGTCTTCATGTCCTCGTGTCCACTTATACAATTAAATATGTGACTCCAGTCCTGAGACAAGGTTCCTGGTTAAATTCCTATTATCAATATGGGACTACACAGGAATTTTAACATGGTGACAAATGTCAATTTCAATGCATATAATGTGACACTCTGCTGGCTTTGCCATTTATACCAACTGACCACATTATAAAAGGGAGCAAGTTTCAATCTCCAAGTAAACAAAAAACATACACGACCTCCACACATTAGGTTAGGACTTGCTTTAAAGGACCACTTATCCTACCCCTGCTCCCTGGATTCTTGTTCCTGTCCCATTTTCAAAAACTATAACCTCACCTCAAAGTACATCCCAGGACTAAACGGGAAACTGGTTATATTTCTTTCTTCTTCTCCCCAGGACTCCTGAAGAAAAGAATTTCTCACAAATGCTTTAATATTCAGGCGTGGGTTCAAGTGAAGAGCAATATCCTTTGATTTTCCTGCTAGTAGGTCAACATTAAAGCTTTTGAGAAAGAAAAAAAAAACACCTTAATTAACCAATTAGGGACAGAGTGGTGGCAGTTTCAGCAGAGTTAATGACCACACTTGAACTCTGATTCCAACTCTATGGAACATGTGTATCCACATGGACGTGGAAACGCAGCTGAAGTTAAAATTTTAAACTCAGCATTCTACTGATTCATTGCTTGCAAAATAAAAACACAAAACAAACAAACAAAAACCCTTTAAAATCAGCATTGAGGCTGAGATGTGGTTGGACAGAAACTGAAGGCTTGACACTAGTTAACCCGAATGACGACGTCAGGCTGCAGGAGCCTGGGATCCTTCCAAGCAGGTATTCTCTTTCCATCATTTACACGTGTTCCTTCCTTCTTGGAAGTATGATACTTTCTAGGAAATAGCTCTAATTTCAAGCTTTCAGAAGTCTGGACATCACTGGACAAAGTTCTTAAGGCAGAAATTTTCTGAATCACATGACAAGAGGGGCCCCAAAAAATGTCTGGGCCGGGCACGGTGGCTCACTCCTGTAATCCCAGCACTTTGGGAGGCCGAGCTGGGCAGATCACTTGAGGTCAGGAGTTCGAGACTAGCCTGGCCAACATGGTGAAACCCCATCTCTACTAAAAATACAAACAAACATTCAGAAATTAGCTGGGTGTGGTGGCGTGCCTGTAATCCCAGCTACTCCAGAGGCTGAGACAGGAGAATCACTTGAACACTCAGGAGGTGGACGTGGCAGTGAGCCAGGATTGTGCCACTGCCCTCCAGCCTGGGTGACAGAGTGAGACACTCCATCTCAAACAACAACAACAACAACAACAACAACAACAACAAAATGTTGCCTGATCTTAAGGGGCTGCCCTGGAGTTCTACAAGGCAGGGGTGGGCCTCGTGGACAAAAATTTTCCTCTCTTGTCTGGCCAAAAAAAGCCAAAGTCAGAACACTGGGCTTCAGTCTTGGCTCTGCCACCAACCAGCTGTTAGCAATCTAACCTCCTCCTGCTTGAACCACCTCACCTTGGAATTGAAGGTTCTGACACTAGCCCTGCTTCTAGCTCACAGGACTGTTACCGGGTGAAAGGCGCCAACAGGCACGGAAATACTTGCACTGTTTCTGGTAACCCAAGGATACTGACCCTTTGGCATTGGTATTCACTTCTCCCTTAACGACGACAGTTCTTCCAGGGCCCATGGGGGTGTTCAACCTTGCAGTGAATGGCAGGCTCTGAAAAGAAGGCACGGTCAGGACCAAGAGGCCTGCAGAAAGGGCCCTCCAGGGAAAACTCGTGTCCAAAGAACACTAGACAGTGTTTAAGAGCCATGACCATGTAAATCCCACGAGGGGAGAGACAGTGTGCCTTGGTCCCAGCTGGGTCCCCTGCAGCAGCACCGTGCCTGGCTCACGGCAAACACTCACTGACTACATTTTAGACGATGAAATGAGTGACAGGGTGGGACCCGATGACCTCTGCATGAGTGGAACACCCCAGGAAGGCCCCTGTGCCTGGGATCTGAGGCAGCACTTGTTCTGCTTGAAGGGGAAGCAGCCAGGCTGGGCGGCATGTAGGAAATACACAGGAATGGCTCAGAGGCATGCCTGGTTGACTCTCGAATCTGTCCAGGGGACAGCACACAGATGCAGAGGGGCTGCTTTGGGCTTCTACTGTGGGTTGGGGTTATTCGTAACAGCTAATTACAACTGAAGTTTTATATAGAGTTAAGAAAATGTGGGGTGCTTCAAACCTTTGACAAATAGTTCATAGGTGGTATTTTGGTGCAAGTCAAAGTGTGATTGACAGTCGAATCTTTGCTCTTGGTGTAGACAGTTCTGGGTGCGATTTTAGAAATGTCTCCTTCTCTATTACTAGGCTGTAGGGAAACAGTTCTACAATAAGGAATGGAATGAACGAAGCTGCCTTCCAAGGTTTAAACTGTTCATTTTCTATGCAATTTAATAAAATGTTCCGCATGAAATAACCCAGGCAAAAATACTCACATACTGGGGCATGCCAGACCTTGGTACCTATCGGAAAAGAAAGAAAACACAAGAATGTTAGAGGGGGAATGATAGTTTCCAGTGTGAAGTCTTGGTTGTGCTGAGCTGAGCCCAGCTGGAGCCTGGGACACTCCTGCTCCACTCCGGTGTGACCTCCAGGCAGCTGGTGCTTTATGACGGGATGGTATGGAGTTGTGAAGGGCTACACGGGTGGAGAATAGAGTCTGATATCCCTGTTCATCTGAGTCTTTTATCCTTCACCATAAACTAATATTTTTTTATAGAACTCTATGAACTTTTTTTTAAGAGACAGGGTCTTACTCTGTCACCGACACGGGTGCAGTGGCTCAATCGTGGCTCACTGCAGCCTCAACCTCCTGGGCTCAAGTGATCCTCCTATCTCAGCCTCCCAAAGCTGGGATCACAGGCATGTGCCACCATGCCTGGCTAATTTTTTAATTTTTAGTAGAGATGGGGGTCTCCCTATGTTGCCCAGGCTGGTCTCAAACTCCTAGGCTCAAGCAATCCTCCCACCTCAGCTTCCCAAAGTGCTGGGATTCCAGGCCTGAGCCACCACGTTCACCCAGGACTACATGAACTTCAAACATGTCTTAGTTGTCCTTTCCAGGGTGCCCCCAGAATACTGAGATTCCCTTCTATCTGTGAGGTGTGAATGTGCCAGTCGGTAAGACCTCACTTCCTCCATTAAGAACAGCT